CGTTTGCGTGTCTGGTTGTACAGCTGGAAGGGTATAAAAGTAACCACGTTGGTTTTGTTTTGTAGTTTGCCTAGCTTCGGTCCGAGGCTGTCTTGTCGTTCCGGTTTGTTGAGTTGTTGGTCAGATGTGCTTGGCAGCATGGTATATCTCAACGCGCCGACTACATCCGGGTGCAAAAAACGACGCGGCTCGGGAAAGGGATCCGCCACCCTGCGTCATCCTGTCCGGCTAACTGAGTGCACGTCCTGGGCAACAAGCGTCACCCTGCGTCGCCCGGCAATCCCGATGAGACAAACCCCGATGGCACCTCTCAACGAACCCTCCGTACGAGGTCGACACGTCGACGACGCCGGTCGCGGCCACCTTGCCACGACGTCCAGCTTTCCATCGGCGCGGACTGCGACGTGAGGCCCACCGCGATTCCTGGCCGACCACTGCTCTGGCGCGCAGAGCCACACGTCGCCCATCCGAAACACAACATTCCACGCGGCGAACATTGATCGACGAACGTCTGTCCACACGGCCATCAAGCCTTCGCTGGCCTGCTGTCGGGAACGTGCCCGCGGGATACCATCGTCGGGCGACGCGATGAGCACTACTGCGTCACGCCGACGTGTAAGCACGGTTCACCGTGATGGGAACACCACACAGTCGGCTGCGAAGAAGACATGCGTGTCCCGTGCCACGTCGACCATTGCGCCGCCGTTCTGCCTGGCATGCAGGGTTGGAGACCTGCCCACGGATCGCCCGCCAACACCTGTCCGCCCCGAACCGAGACTGTGCCTCTCTATGCTATGACCCCTTGACGGCCAAGTGTCCATGGCATTTGGTCACTTGTTTGTTGTGTTGCATTCATTTTCATTCTGGTGAGCCACATTTCCCTCAGTCATTTTCACGCTTCTCGGAGACCGACCGACCACGCGTGGTGCAGGGTCGACGACGAGCCACGCCGGTGTAGAGTGCGTTTAGGTCGGCAAACTGTACGGGCTTCCGACTTAGAATCATTCCGACTAGGACGACTAGCTAGGTCGACAACAACCGAAAGTCACCCAGCAGAACACTAATCCGCCGCCCTTACTTCCCGAAATTCCCGAACTGACCGACATTGCCGCGGAGTTGACGATCGCCGAGAACGTTGAGAGGGCCGAAAGACGGGCGGCCTTTAGGGCCACGGTGCGAAGGCAATACACGGTAGCGATTGTGCAGTATCGACTTTGGTGGGCCGAGCACGTACCGCCGCGAGACTGCGGCGACAACTAGAGGTCGACGGGAACAACTCTACCCGCCGAGATGGCTGGCGTCGCGCCGCCGGCGGGGAGCAGCCCGATTCCCGACCTGAACGAGCCTTTCATGGAGGAAGATGTAGACGCCACTAGGGCAAATATTCCCGCCGACATGGTGGTCGACGTAGACGCCGCTAGGGCAAAAATTCCCGTCGACCCGACCATCCCCCTACCGCCAGGGACGAAAGGGGCTCCCGAACCCGAGCCGGACCGGTACTCGCCGCGTTCGGACACGGAGCAGCCACCGCCAATTGGACCATTTCCAGAAAACGACTACGTGTATCTGACCGTAGAGGACTTGTTGGCAGCCGACGAGAAAGATGACGCCTTCCTGCAAAACATTCCGCGCGACGATTTTGCAGAAGCCGCCTTCGACATCAACAAAGAGTTCGCCAAGAAGAACAGATTGCTGAGGATGATGTGGGGTTTCCGGCATCTGGACACGCTGGAGGCGAGAACGACCCGGGTTCAGTACCTGCGGGCGCTGCTCGACTTCAGGAGATGGTGCTGCGCGAACCTTCCAAGACAGCAAACCGCCAGAGTCAAGGGGGACGGCCTGCTGGAACACGAGGACGAGATAGGGAGGTACATCGACGAAGACATGGGTGATCAGTGGCACACAGCCAAGGGCGACCTACAATGGATGCACGGTCCCCGCGTCAACGCCACGCGGATCAGGGCGTACATTCTGTCAATCGCGAGGCAGCACGGTATTGCAAAGGCCGAGGAGCTCGAGGAGCTGAATCCCGACGTCCGTGTCCAGCCCCTGAAGCCGACAACCGTTTCGATGCTGCTCATCCGCATCAAAGCGCTCCAGATAGCCTGCAAGGTCGAGAGGACGCTCTTCGGGGTGAAGGAGCTCCACATCATGTACGACATCTCCGAGGTCCGCTCGGAGGTGCGCGCGATGGTCAGAGAGAAGTGGCACAGGGACGACAGGTAAGTCGGCAAGTCGTCCCGCGCCTGTTTCCCGGTTCGCCCAGCTAACCCAGTCCTCGTGGAAACTGATGTGCAGGGATTGCGTCGACCGGCACCGCGGAACGCTCGGCGACACGTACACCACCGACCAGATCCGCCACCTCATGTTCAAGGTCTTGCCAACCTGGGCAGCTCGGGCGTACGAACCCAAAGCGGCCACCCCCTCCCAGACACTGTGGAAGTTTCTGCTGATGAAGACGATGACCCTCTTGGGTCACCACACCCTTCTCCGCAGAGCCAGTCTCCGAGCGATCGAGCTCCCCGACCTGTTTTTGTACAGAATGGGGAGCGCGTCGCCCGAGCACTCCACGCGACGGCCGGTTGTCATGGTCGTCGCGTCACGAAACTCCAAGACGAACAAGGATGCTCGTTTGCATCACAGCTACGCGGCGAGACACCTGGAGCAAGAGATGTGCGCCGTCGGTCACACATTGTTGTGGCTGCACTTCGTGTACGACCAGCTGAGCCGCTCGCCCACCTCTCGATGTGTGCCGCCCCTCGACTTCACAACTCCGTACAGCTGGTATCACAAGCACCTCTTTCATGCTCGGAACGACAAGGCACAAAAAGAGCTGCCGGCTTCATCTCATTCTCGGATCACGAAAGAGATGTGGCGGACGAACAAGATCTTCATCACGTGCAACACCCACGCCGCCCGGGCGGGTGGGGCACAGGAGCTGGCCGACGACGGCGTTCCGCGATCTGACATCGCCGACTTGGGCCACTGGGCGCTCGACAAACTCGTGAAGAGCTACATCACGACCATCGCGAAGGCGGCGGTGTTGAGAAAGGTCGGCTACACGGGCAAGCACGGTGACTACCACCTCGGCCGGAGCATGGTGAAGCCCGACGACAAGGTGGTGGCCCTCATCGCCCAGCACATCTTTCCGTGGGCTGAAGCGGAACTGGCCAAGGTGAGCATTTCGGACGGCAAAAACGCCGACAACTCGCCGACCATCTCCACGACGACATTATACCGACGGCTGATTGTGTTTGTGTTTGTGTTCGACTCGCAGGCGGTAAGGTGTGCATCCGCGAGAGAGCCCAACACGACCGGGGTGCACTTCATGCAATCGCTCATCGAGTTCGGCCGCCGAATTGTCGCCGAGGATCTTGCGTGCATGCTGATGCGCGAACCGTGGCACCCGTACGTCCAGAGTTCCAAGCTCTGCCGCGACCTCGACTTCCGGAAATGGGCCAAGGACGTCAACAGGGTGGACCTCGAAACCATCGCGACGCGCAGTACTCCGAGCGAGAACCCCCAAGAGGTAGGGCGTGCGCGTTCCGACGACCTGTAAAACAAGTCGTCCTGCCACATTGGCTCACCTTTTGCCGACCATCCCCCTTGGATTGCAGGAATTCAGCGCGCGAGTCGACGCCGAATATCAGGTCGACCAGCTCACCATGATGCTGCACCGCCAGAGGGAGGATGCCGAGATCGAGAAGCTTGAGATGCAGAAGAAGTTGGAGGAGAAGGACGCGGAGATCGCGAAGTTGATGCAGGCTCTCAAGCTGGCCGAGGCACGGCCGACGCCGACTGCGCCGACACCGTCAAGGCCGATGACCGCCGCCGAGAAGGAAACGTCTGTCAAGATCGAGAAGGAACAGGACGATGACCTGACGTACGAGGTCAGCGTCGTGCATCCCTGGCGCACATCCAAGACGGTCGAGGCTGCATGGCACTGGTGGAACAACCCGTCCAACTTCGACTCGCGTCCGTTGCGCGAACGTTACGACGAGCACAGATTCCTCGTCAGACACACGCGCATGATCTGCAAGGTCGAAAAGGGCGACAAACCCGCCGCGTCGGCGAAGTCGGCGAAGAGCTCTCGTCCCACGACCGAGGTGGGTGAGACGGGGAAAAACGATGCGCTGGAGCAATGCACTCGCCGGATGAGGCGGATCATGGAAGCGGTGCACGACTTGCGGCGAAGCGACGACGCCGCTGACACTGCCACCGTCATCAAGCTACTCGACCACCTGGGGCGAGCGGGGCTTTCCACTTTCAGCGACGCGCTCTTGGTCCTCCGTGCAACCCCGCCCATCAAGGTCTTCACCACAGCCGACGGAAAGTCGGTCGGCATCAAGGGTCTGGACAAGCCGCTGGCGAGGAAGCTCGCCGTTGCGTGGGGCGTGGTCACGGCGGGCTACATGGACGCTGACTGGGGAAAGAGGCTCTTCGGCGACTTGTGGGATGAGCAGGCCAATAAGGCCGGCTTGGAGGCCGAGGCGACTGCGGGAGCCATCGGCGCAGGGAAGCGCAAGAGGGCGGGCTGAGGGTACTACGTCTGGGTCCGACTTGTGCTGCTGGCTGAGCGTGGTGTGACTGAGGGTGGGTTGAGGGCGGTTTTCTTTTACTGCCAACATTGTTTCGACTTGTAAATTAGTAGAAGTTTGTCTATTGTTCATGCATCAAACCGACTCCACACCACAAAACCTACTTCACAATGTTTCTAAAAAAACTACCGACGAACAAGTTCAGCATCACTAAGCCGGAGAGGCACAACAAAACAACAAATCAGCGTTTGTAGGTCTTCAAGCCTGCAGCGTTTGCACCCACGCCGACCATGCTACGAGCAGGCGGGCCAGCCTTCGTCGACCTAGGCGTCGGCGACTTGCTTCCCTTTGTGCTGCTGCCCCCTCGCCCCCCTGTCCCCGAATGATAATCTTCATCTGGGGGTCGATAGGCAAATCGACGCCGCGAGCCTTGAGCATCGGGCCTCCGACATTGCAGTCCCCCTAGAAGGCGAGGTTCTCTATCATGACACGGGCGATCAGCTCGTCGTGCTCGCGCTCCTCTCCGACCTCAGGCAGCGACCTCACCACAGCCGCCTGCAGGTCCTTCGTCACCGTTTCGGCGACCTCCCCTACGACGACCACCCGGGAGGTCGCCCGCTGAAGCACCGCCTCGATGACGGTCCGACACCGACTCGCGAACTCGTTGGACGCTCCGCGCACGGTCGCTGCCGCCCCCCCTTCGCCGGCCGCTACTTCCGCCGTGGCATTGGTCTCCGAAAAACACCACACCGCGGCCGCAGTACTGGCGAGGATCTCGGACAACCGCTCCGACCCGACGCCCGGAATGGGCGTCACTTTCGCGGCCACCGGTGCGAAGGCGGCACACATCGAAACGCGTGCGATCATGTCGTTCGCCACCTTGTTCTTCGCGGCCTTCTCGGGCTCGGTCGACTCCGGAAGGTCGCCGAACCACACCGCCGGGCGAAGAGCCAACATGAGAGCTGCGCGGTCGGCTCCGGTTATCCTGTTGTATTCCGCGACCACCTGTTGGAACCTACGAAACACAGCAGGAATACCCACCGTCACCGACCGGCCCACGCGTACCGACCGAAACGAGCACCAAATTGAGCATTCGCCAAGCTTACCTATCGCGGAAGACGTTTGCCCCTCGGCTCCACATGACCATCCACATGCCCCCCGGAATCAATCGCGCCACATTCCAGTCCGCCTTATACTGCGCCATCACTTCCTCCTTGACCCCACCGAACTCGTCGAGAACGACGTCGCTTACGAAGCCGTCGAACGACGAAACGGCGACAGCGATGCAATAGGCGGCCTCGAACTTGTCCATCGACCGACAGATGTAACGGCTCTTCTTCCCAAACTTCATCTCTGAGACGGCCAGCCCACTTGAAGGGTCAACGCGGACGCCTGAACCCTTCCGACCCTGCGCGGCCGCTTTGGACGTCCCCTTGGAAGAGCCGACCTTCAGCGGGCCGCCCTTCGCCTTGTCCTTGCCCTTGCGCTTCTGCTTCCCATCGCCGACCTCACCGGTTGTGGCCGGGGGGGATTTGGCGCTAGCCGCGCTATGGTCCTCCGCAGGAGCAGTCGAGGCGGCTGGTGCACCCTGTTGCGCTCCCACGGTGGGAGCTGCTGCTTGTAGTTTTTCCCGCATGACCTCGATTTCCGGGTCCGGCATCACGATGCTGGCGAGGATCTCTTCGTCCACCCCGCCGGCCTCTTCCGCCGCTCTCCACACAGCCGCCTCCACCGTTGAGCCACTCGGCCCTGCAGTCACCGCCGCGACGTTCGCTGCCTCTGCTCCTTGGTCGACCACCTGGTTGCTGTGAGTCGGAGGAATTACTGGGGTTTTCTGACCCTGATCCTCGAGCCATTTTAGATACTCGTCGTACGATGGCTTTTGAGTGATTAGAGCCTCGACCGCCCGAGACTCAACAGCCGTTGGGATCGGGATCGGTTCCGCGGCGACCATGGCCCCATGAACGGGTAAGCTGGCCGCACCGGCAGCCTGCTGGACATGCTGCCCGACCACCGCTGCTGGGCGCAAGAGCTCGTCGACCAGTGCCGTGACACCACCCGGTCGCGCGTCACGTGCAGTGGCAGGACTCGTCGCGGTGTGGGGATGCTGGCCCGCCGCGGCCTGCTGGACATGCTGTCCGACCACGGATGCTGGGCGCAAGAGCTCGTCGACTAGCGCCGTGGCGCCAGCCGGACGCGCGTCCTGTGCAATCGCCGGACTCGTCGCGGTGGGGGTATGCTGGCCCGTACCTGGCGGCCCGCCCTGCTGTCCGACCACCGCTGCTGGGCGCAAGAGCTCGTCGACCAGCGCCGTGACGCCAGCCGGACGCGCGTCTTGTGCGGTCGGCGTGCTCATCGACGGGTGAAGATGCTGGCCCGCACCGAGCGGCCCGCCCTGCTGTCCGACCACCGCTGCGGGGCGCAGGAGGTCGTCGGGCAGCTGCGCTGTGACGCCGGTCGGTCGCGCAGTCGGCGTACTCGTCGAGGGTTGAACATGCTGGACCGCAACATGCCTGGCCGACCACCGCTGCGACGTGCATGTCGTCTGCCATCTGGGCCGTGCCGCCGCTCGGTCGAGCGCCTTGTGCAGTCGCCGGACCCATGAGCTCGTCGGCCAGACTCACCTGGTCGCAGCTCGGTGGCGCGTCGTGTGCGCTCGGCGGATCGGTCGGGGCCTGTGGCTGCTTGTCCCCCACGGGCTGCCCACCGGTCTTCCCGACCACCGACTGAGGATCCTGAAGCGCGTTGTCGAGCTGTCGAAAATCTTCGCTCGGTCGCGCGCCAAGTCTATCTTGCAGCAAGTCGTGGACGCCGGGGATACGAACATACGGAGGGGCAGGAGGATCCACGCCCACACCGCGTTTCACCGCAGGTCCTCTGCTTCGCTTAGCGCCGCTGGTCTGGTCGCCGGTCAGGGATTTTTCGTCGGCGAACCTTTTCCCCGACTGCCTTGGGGCCGGCCCACTCTCCTCGGCGGTTGCGCGACCGCCGTGCATCACCGACGCGAGAGCAGTTGGGAGGAGGCTAAACCCGGCGGTGCCAATGCCCTGTTGGGTCGCGGAGGTGACCGCCTTCACCAGGTCGTCCCTAAGCTCTTGGACGACCTTCGCAGTCACGGCAGCGGCGATCCGCTGCGCCTCGCCCTCCATGGCGGCCTTCACCTCGGCAGACACGACTGTTTTGATCTTCTGGCCGAGAGCATCTGCCACACCTCGAAGCAGCAGGAGGTCGTCCTCCCGTCGCCTACCCTGTGCAGCAGTAGCCGTCAAGTGCAGGGCCTGCACGGTGGGCAGCCACTGCGTGTTCATGAATTCTAGGGTGGAGCCGCGATAGCTCACCGCCTCCTGCACGACCGCCCTCATAGCGTCCACCGCCGTTTGGATGCTCCTCCCCGACGTCTGCTCGAGATGGGTCACGCCCTCGGCGACTGTAGTGAGCTTGTTCACGGCCGAGGTGACCACGCCGTAAATCTTGTCATTCCGGGCCGTCTGGAACTCCAGCCTCTTTTCCGCCACCAGCTTCTCCTCCCTCAGCTTCTTGATCTCCCTCTCCGCCGCCTTCAGACGCTCGATAGCCGCCTTTGACGCCATCCTAGTCGGGGTCGAGCCACTGCTGCTCCCGGCCTTCTTGCCCAACTTGGGTCCGCTGCCGCCGCTCTTATCCGCAACCTTCTCACCGGCGAACTGTACTGCCTCCTCTTCGCCGGTGACAGCCACGTCGTCCTCCTCACGCTCCACGTCCTCCTCCTCTTCTTCCGAGCCACCGTCGTGCTCCCCGCCCCCCTCAACGTCCTCCCTCTCGTGCTCCTCCTCCCCACCCAGAGCGATGCCGGTTCCGACGCCACGGCCCACGGTCGACGCCGCCTCCCCTTTGTTCGACGCGACCTTCTCCGCGTGGTGCAGCAGCTCCAGTCGGAGCGCCTTCAAGCCGACCATCTTCGGGTTCTCGACGATGAGCGGATCGTAGCTGCGATACACGTCGTCCAGATGCTCCAACGACCACGCGAACGCGTTGACCGCCAACAGCCCCGTGTCGGCGACCTCCTCCTTGAGGATGTCGGACAATTTCTGCATCAACATCCGAAGCACATGGCGCCGACGAAAAGGGTGAGTCGACGCCTCGACGACGATAGCCCAGGCGACATGGACGTTGGAAACTCACATCACGGATGGGGGCGGCAAGACTCTCCAGACGTTCGGAGACGACTTCGACGGAAGGAGGCGCAGCCGTCCACTGCCTTCCCTCACGGTTCAACTCCGCCTTCACGCACTCGCCGAAAAACCTGCGCTACGAGACGGAAAAGAGCCATCAGACAAGGCGGCATGAACGCCGTTAAGGAGCGGCGCGACTAGCCGTCGACGTTGTCCCACCTCAAAACGTTGGCCGCCTCCTCCTCGTGCCGCTTGGAGGAGGTCTTGGGGTCGAGGTGACGGTAGAACGTCCCGATCTCCTCCTCGTCGGGCAAAAGCAGGTCGCCAGGGCGCACAACAAGCAGGACGCTGCAGTGCCTGCCGGGAAGAGGTCCGCCCCTGCCAACACAAGCACGACGTAGAGATTCAGGGTTCTATCCGGGAACAACAAGCAACGCGGTCGGCGTGGATCGAACCTCGCGGGCGCGGAACACCCACCCGGTGCACAGGGGGATGGCGAGGGCTTCGAAGCCGAAGGCCGACCCGAAAACCAGATAGTCCGCCTTCGACGCCGTCCTGGCGGCGCGAAGACTCGCACCGCGGATCAGGATCATCCTGTCGCCTTTTCCCAGACGATCGAGCTCGTACCTGGGACAACCGGGGGCGAAAAGGCGGGAGCGAAACACTTGCGCGGTGAGCTACAATCCATGCCGGGCGCCGGGGTAAAGCGCGGACAGCAAGACAAGCGGACTCGGACGAAGGTTTCGCACGACGGCGATGTCGCCAGCAGCATGACGGACGTCACCGACGTAGGGCCAATGGTCGAGGACAAGCAAACTAGTTGATAAGACGACGCAGCGCCAAAACGTCCATCGCGGACGGACATCGTCGACCACGTGGGAAAACGACAAGGCCAACGTCGACCTAGAAAGGACGCCGACGAAAACGCGCAGAACCCTAAACAACTAACAACGCGACCTAGGGATGCGCGCTCACGCGAGGCCGAGGTCGAAGCAAGGTTCTGTGAACTCGGCCTTCTCGTCGCGAAGGACTTCGCAGTCCTTCATCTCCAGCGTCACCATGTACCCACCGATGCCCACTGGCACCTGGAGGGGGAATTCAGTCGCAGGCAGTGCTCTCCTACTGGTCGCCATGCTAACACCACGGTCGGTATCACGGAAGGTTTGGGGAGGAGCGCAGAGAGCTGACAGGGAGGCAGAGGAAATCGGAAAGCGAAGGTGGAAAGGAGAAATGACGGATGGAGTGGGACCCCCCATCAAGAAATGGGCGTGGGCCGTCGGTCGCCTAGTATGCAGCTCGGCAGACGAGGCAAGTCGTGGCCGAGGGCGAGCCTCCGGCTTCGGCCCGTACCGGGCATGCCCTCGATGGCGGGGTTCGGAGGGGCGGAGGTGGGTGGTTTGTGTGGGCCGTGCGTGGGGGTGGTCGGGGTGGCGAGGGCCAGCGATGTTGACGAGGGTGGGGTCGGGCCCTTTGAATTTCGCAACCAACCCGCCTGCCCGGCGAGGGCAGCCCGAGAGGGTTACTAGGGCCTCGCGGGCAACGCGAAGCGAATGTCCGCCTCCGTGAAGGGGTAACTAGGCCCCTCGTCGCTCATGCGCGAGTTCGCCACCCCTCGGCTGCAACGTGGGGTTCTGTAGGAATTCGGGGTGGGGGGCCGGGGCGGGGGGCGTGGGCAGAGGCCCGCCCCGCGCCAGCCTGGCGGGGGACTCACGCGAGGGAGTTGGCCGCCCTGACGCTCGGTCGACCGTCACCCCCCTGCGTCGTCCCAGGCAGAACGGGTGCGTCACCCCGAATTCCGATGAGCGATTCAGCCAAAGTGCTGCCGAACAGGGCCCAAGATTCCATTCGAAATGAATGAAAAGGAGGGCGTTGGACAGACCAACATGATTCCGTTTGGTTCGGACGGAATCATAGGCTCGGCAAGAATTTCGCGGGCTGACCTGCTTGACGGACCCTAACGAGCCCTAACGGACGGGATCAGGAAGCCGAGACTGACCTTCCTGATCCCGTCATTTTTGTTGTTATTCGTGCTGGCGAACAACGCCATCAGTGTGCACCGTTTGTCCAAAGTGGAGGGTGGGATGGGATACAATTGATGCCTGTTTGAGCCCCTCGTGGTTGCCTTGTGAAGGGGGCATATAAGCTGTAACAAGCATTTCGCATAAGCTTCGTCAATTCGCAGCTAGCTAAAAAGGATTCGCAGGTGCTTATAAACAAGATCTGTTACCTTATCTGACTTCAGTCTCTTCTGCTTGACCTCGGTGTATTCGTTACTATTGGTTGATAACCACGCGACGCGCTTCTAACGTGGGAGCAACAGGCTGGGGAAACAACCTCGGGTGCAGCGTTTCCATCCGGCGCAAGGCAAATCCGCGTGCACTGGCTGGGCATCAATTGTAGTGTAGCGAGCCCGAACGGACTAGAGTTGTACAGTACTCTACGTCGGATGCCGGAAATTCGTTTCACCCAGTCCCCTGCTGGAGAAATGCTGGTCAGAATCCAATTGGCAGTTGAGTACTGTCCCCTGTGAGCTGGCTAAATGCAGGTTTGGCCGCGAATTTGGTTATTTTCGATACGTCGCCCTCTCTTGTGGTTCGGATTGATTCTTTTGGAGGATAAGGTTGCAGCATTGAAAAGGAGTGTGGGTTTCAACAGCTCGTTCCATCGCCTCGCCAGGCGGGAGGTGTCTGGCACAGTTGTAACAACACGGTGGATGGATATGATTACAACTGGTTCTAATTCTCCAACAGTACACCAAAGAAGTGGCAGTAGGCTTGGAAATTTTGTCTCCTTGTAACAATGGAACATCCAGCGAAGCACAGAGACCTGATGTACAGTTCTTTCCGAAGGACCTCGTTGTTCATGTGGATGCTTCCTCGTGTACCTCGTGTTGTACTGTTGAGCTCCTCGGTGCTTCACTGTAGGCTTGGCATGGCAGCCGAGTCCCCCTGCCAGGCTTGGGGAGATTCGTGCCCTTAGAAACAGTGTCATGGCATGGAAATCGCATGAGTTGTCCTCGTCTTCCTGACCGACCGACAGCCTGGGCTTCCCGCTCATCAATCTGCTGTTGCTGACACTTCTCTCATCCCTTTTGGATGCACTTTTCGTCACAACTGCCCTAACGTAAACTGATGCTGACGTGGCTATGCAGTGGAGGGGCTTTTCATACACTAGTAGTTCATCACCACACCCCCCCCGACCTCCACACGGTTTTGGTCATTCCTTCCCACCCCCGAATACGGCTCCGTCAAGCAAAAAGCACCAGTGCCCGCCGCTCTCCCTCGGTTATCCCAATGTTCCTCAAACGTCGAATCAGCTCCTTGCACCGCGTCGGTATTCTGCCCGTCGTGGTTTCGTCGGCTGCCCTGCTACCCCCACCCCACCCCCCTGCCCAACGAAGCGAAACCCTCGTCCCATGGGTTGCGATGGGACGACCCGCTGGCGCTGCTTGCTGCTTGCTGGTGCTGCTTCCCTCCCCGCCCAGCCCACTGCCCCATTCGCCCACTGCTGCTGCCTGCTGTATCTCTCCGAGCCTGCCAACAAGGCCTCTCATCTCGGCCTCACCTCACGTCACCTCACCTCTTAGCTCACAGTCACGAGGGTTTGAATGGATGCTGAGACATCAGGCTCACTTAGTTATCACTTTCATGATTTGTTTGCTGACGTGTAGTAGCTAGTAACCGTGACTTAAGTACTCTTCTGTTTGTCGTTGTATACGCGGTGAAGGCTTGTCGCACGAATCGCGCGTAGAAACCTAGGAACGTTTAAGCTGATAGGACTTAGATCGAAGCATTAGCGTGAGTAATGGCGTCCCGAGATGGTGGTGGTGACATAATGGCCTCAGCGGTAGATGATTTTCCGTCGCTGAAGGCCAAATGGGTAGTTATGCAGCATGCTGGCAAGAAGCCGGGTTCCATGTTTGATGACCTCGCCTTCGTGTGAGTATTTTAGTAGTTCCAACCTCCCCTGGTTTAGGTTCCACGTACTATTTTTTTTATTTTATTTTTTATTTTATTTTTGCGTACCCGCATCTCTGGTATCCTGGTAACACTTTGGACATGACTCATGTGAGGCTCGTCCGTCCATTCTTAGTTCACTCAATATTCCCTGTTACTTTCTATGTGCAGCCCGGACCACGACCTCCTTGACACGGTATGGCTTGATAACCCTCAACAAGAATCCACCGGTAAAAAAGGCGAGAAGCCGTGGCAGGTTGACCCTAAGGCTGCATCGTATCCGTCCGAGGATCCTGCATCGACGGCTGTTCGCGATGCTGAGCTGGATGTCGTCGTCAACAACCAACTCGCGGTGCAGGATCCGCCTGCCGCTCCTCCGCCAACGGCGTTTCGCGACGACATGGTGTCGTGGCTGCTGGACGAGGCGATCGACGGCACCTTCACGGCGGACGCGTGGCACGACTTCGCCGCCGCTGCTCTCGGCGAGGCGGGCAAGGAGATCCACAAGGACGCTGCGGCTGGCCCGACTGACCCTGCCGCCAAGCCTTCGTCCGTTCACGCTCCCGGTCCCACGCCCGCAGAGGCAGACGCCTTTCACAAGTCCGCCGCGTTCGGCGGCGTGAAACCGGGCTTCAAAAGCTTGAGGCCTGAGCAAGCGATGGTGTCGCAGAGACCGGTCGGGCAGGGCCAGGGGACGGGGTGCGACGGGATGGCGAAGAAGACGGCGCTGAGCAACATGGGCGTCGCCGCGCTGCTTGCGCAGAAGCGAGCCATTAGCCTCAAACCGGCCGCCGTGTTTCCCGGTAGCATGGCGGAGATGCGGATGAACAGCAGCGGGGCGGAGAAAGGCGCGGGTATGATGGGCAAGGGGGCAAGTATCATGGAGATGTTCAGCCAGCAGTCGCAGCAATTGCAGCACGCGCAGGAGCTGCAGCACGAGCAGCTGGAGCTGCAGCAGCACGAAGAGGAGTTGGCCGCGCAGCAGCTTTTCCTCATGGAGCAGCAGAAGCTACGACAGCAGCAGCTGAAACTGCGACAGGCGTTTCAGCAGCAGCAGCAACAGCAACAGCTGCAGCAGCTGCAACAACAGCAGCAACAACAACAGCAGGAGCAGCAGCAGCAACAAGAACATCAACAGCAGCAACAACAATTGTTGCAGGAGCAACAACAGCAGCAGCAGCAGCAACGGAAGCTGCTGTCGCAGCAGCAGTGTCAGCTGGTGAAGTTGGAAGCGAAGCAGACGTCCATGCGTTTTCCCGACCAGGCCAACGCTCCTCAGGGCAACTCCTCGCAGTGCGCCGCTCCGCGCGCCACGCCACTCAACTTCTCGCACTTCTCTCTTCCCGCCGCCCTCTACGGCCGCTCCAACACTAAGTCCGCCACCGCCCCCGGATCATCCGCAGCCGCGCCGCCCACCAGCTCGCAAGGTAACTTCCGGCCGCCAACTAAGGTGCCGGCGCCGCCCGCGAAACCCGGCACTGCTCCATCTACTCCCACGCTTGCGCGCGCAGGCGACCCTTCAGCGTCTCCCCCGCAATCTACAGCGCAGCAACCCGCGCAACTGGCGGCTACGGGGAGCCCCACGGCGGGGGCTGGGAGCCAGTCGGGTGCCCCCGCAGGGCCCTCCGCACGCGGGTCGCGGTCTCCGCCTGCCGGTGGCGCGTCCTCCGCGGCGCACTCTGCTGCGGCGGGCGCGCTTGCCTCCGCTGCGCCTAAACCACTCCCGTACGCGCCGATCGCGAAGCAGCAGCAGCAGCAGGGCGCGGAGAGGATGCGCGGCGAGGCATCGGCGGACGCGTTTCACGCGTCGACGGTGACGAGCAACGTGGACGGCCCCGGCGCGTGGGGCAAGCACGAGCGCGACGGCACGGGCAGCTGCGCCGTGGGGGGCGACGACGACGACACGATGGGCGCGCACAGGGAGCGGATGACGCGCAAGAACACGTGCGGAACCAAGGACTCGGGCATTCATCCGGGGTCGGGCGGGGGCAGCTGGGGGAAACGGTCGCGCGAGGAGAGCGAGAACATGGTGTTCGACGAGGCGGACGCGGCGGAGGAGTCGGCGGACACGCGCAAGACGAACACGACGGCGAAGCGCATGGCCGTGTCGGGCAACGAGAGCAGCGCCGCCAAGCGCGCGCGCGCCGCGGAAGTGCACAACATGTCGGAGCGGGTACGTGGCTTGCCTTGCCTGGTCCGCTCATTCCGCTTGCTCGGCTTGCTCCGTGCTGTTGATTCCCTTTACCCTCCTGTCTTCGACGATCTCGACGTGTGCTGTGCTAATCTGTGCTGTGTCGTGGTCCGTGTTGTGACCCACCGTGGCATGCGTGCGTGCAGAGGCGGCGAGATCGCATCAACGAGCGGATGAAGACGCTGCAGGAGCTCATTCCTAACTCCAACAAGGTACGCCTCTGCGCCCCGCCGCCCTCTCTCGCCCATCTTGCATGCTCTCCCTCCCCACCCCACCCCCCCCCCCCCTCCCCTCCTTTCCCGCGGCCCTCTTTTTGCTCGTCTCGTTTTCGCTTGGTAGCCCTTGTTCTGCTTGGTCTAACCAGGAGCTTCGTTTTCTGCGTGTGCTGTGTCCCTGCTTGCCTGCCTTGTGTGCGACGGGATGTGCTTCACGGCATGTGCGTGCGTGTGTGCATGTGTGTGGCGTGTGCGGGGCGTGCAGACGGACAAGGCGTCGATGTTGGACGAGGCCATCGAGTACCTCAAGATGCTGCAGCTGCAGCTACAGGCAAGTCGCCCTCCACCACCCGCTCCCCTTGCTGCTCCCTCGTCCGTCGCTCTGCTCCTCCGCCACCCCCCCTCAACCCTCCCCCCCCCCTCGTGCCCCAACCCCCCTTCCCCTCGTGCCCCGCCATGTGCACACCGCATGATATATCTTTAATACTGTGACATGTTGTGTTGATATGTGTAGGACTCACTCTACCTGGCCGCTCATTCTCCTCCCATCCTTCCTCTCCCCCTTCCTCACCCACTCCGCTCTTTCTCTCCGCGTCCCCCCTTGGCGCGCGCAGGTCATGTCCATGCGCACGGGCATCAGCATCCCCTCCGGCCTCACGGGCGCGGGCGCCGCGCTGCCGTCGCTGGGCGCGGCGAACATGGCGGCTGCCGCGGCGCACATGGGATCGTCGCCACTTCCGGGCGCGCTGGGGATGGGGCTGTCAGGCATCGGCGCAGGGCTGGGCGGGGGACTCGGGGGGATCAACGCGGGCATGGGCATGGGGATGGGCATGGGGATGGGGCTTGGAATGGGCGGACTGGGAGGCATGGGGGGTTTGGGCATGGGAGGCATGGGCATGGGCGGTCTTGGGCTGTCGGAGCTTGCTGGACTGCCAGCTCAGCAGCGGCTCATGATGGAGATGGCGTGCGCAGATCTGGCGCCGAATACAGCCGGGCAGGGGCAGTTGAATGACATGTCATCGGTTGCTGCGGCAATGGCTGCTGCCACGTCATCCCAGTCTCTGTCCCAATCTGCACGGCACTCGCAGCTGCTGTCGCAGCTGCAGGCGGCGCAGGCAGCAGTGGTGGCAGCGGAGGGCGGCGCCAGTGGAGGAGGGGGAGTGGGGCGGGACGGCGGAGGAGGGAGGGCAGCAGCAGCAGCGTCGGCATCGGCGTCAGCATCCACGTCAGCAGCGATGGCGGCAGCGGCTGCAATGCTGGAGGGGCACCGGCAACGGGGGCCCTCTGTTGATCCCATGGAGGCTTACCTGGCACGACACCAGCAGCAGCACCAGCAGCAACGACAACAACAACAGCAACAGCAGCAGCAACAACGTCAGGTGCGTCCCCGCATTCTGTCATAACCTGAGTAATTCGCTTGCTCAAATCCCTGATTCCTGCTTTTACCTGGCAATGCCTTTTCAGGAATGTGTGATGGCCTCGCTTTCTGACCTGCCACCTACCTCTCTCCCTTGTTGCCTGCAGGCATTTAATCTGGACATGTACCAGGCTTTCCTGCAGCAGCAACAGCAGCAGCAGTAAGGTCAAGCAAACCAGCATTGAGTTTTGTGTGACTGCTGTGCCTTCATTGGGTGAGGGAAGGGGTTTTCTCTACAACAGTGGCATGCTAGTTAAGTGGCTGATAGGTGCTCAAAGCACAAAAGGCTGTCCCGCCCATTGCACCTCTCTGGTTACCCCTAGCTTGACTGGACTTCAGCTTCAAACTTCCGAGTGTGCATGAGGTTACTAGCATTCTTCAGGTCTTCCATTGTTATTGTTCAGCCAAGTGATGGCTGAGTATGCCATTCGCTAAGCATGGCAAACATGACATGGCTGTCATGCAATTTGCCTGTACTTAATTTTGTTTTTGTTCGTAGTTCTGCCTTTAGTTACGTTGCAGTGCAGTGTGAATGAGACACACTAAGCACGATGTCTCTGCTGAAAGGGGTCTGCTTCCCCATTGGAATAAGGTAGTTTGCATATAATTGGTATGCAGGCCTATTCTTGATGTGAGGCTAAGGATGTACCTACACTTTGACATCTGATCTAGTGTGTTATGCTGAGGTTTGCTGTTCCTACTGGACATCCAAGCTTATTAGAAACTAATCTAAGGCCCTGTGCACTATCAGTCATATGGATGTACTAGTGAATGTTTCCAAAAATAATAGCAGTAACCTTTGGCTAAAGGATGTAGGGTCAGCAAAAATTATGAGGAAAAGCAGCGAACTGTGAGTGTTTGAAGTATTTAGCGTGACTGTACGCATAAACGAGGTCGTTGATGGCGATGACTCGATTGATTGTGCCATCCTTGTGCGGTGGCGATGGTGAGGTGAAGATGGCGACGGAACCCCCTTCGGTGGGATGGCTGATGAGGTGTCTTCGGTGGCTGGCCGGGTGTGAGCTGAGCTGAGGGCGACTTTCTGCCCGTGCCATCGACTGCCCCAGTCCGAGAGTGATTTGAGATTCTAGACGATCGACTGTGTATGCACTTGGGACATGCTGCTTGCGTAACGAATGAAATGTTGGACGCTTGCTCAATTGTGGCTAGTGCTGAGAGGTCTAGTGGTCCATGGGCGAAGTGTCGGGTTGGGGTCAAGGTGATATGAAAGCTGGGGGTGGGGGGTGTAGGTGGGAGCGTGGGTGGTTGGGAGAGTGGAAAGGGATATTGGGGGCACCAGGTTCTAGGGGGCTAAAATTTCAACTCTTGAAGGCCTTTCGGAGTTCAAAACAATCCCTTTAGGGCTGACCAGCGAACGAGAACCCTTTGAAGTGCAAATTGTACACAAGTGCAGTGCATGCACAGTATCTGGTGTAGTTACGGCGAAGGTACAGCCCCCTCCACCCGTCATAACAAGTTTAAACTGCTCTTCCATGCGTGTTAAATGCTGAGTGAGTCGGTTGCAAACGACAAATGAGAATACCGTTAATTCAGGTTGTACTCCAGTAGCTCATAAATAAGAGTGCATACTTTCACGCTGCCGTTGATTGTGTGGTTCATCGATTGTTATTTGGTGGTTAAAAGGAATAGAAATCCTAAACTCTGGTTTGGGGTCTGAGAATATCCCGTGAATAATGACATGGAAATATGATTTCGTTGTTCGGCCTGGATGAAAGGTCAGATAAATTTGCCAATTCTTCTTTCGCAAAATGAATCATTCTACGTGTCTGGTAGATTCACTGGAACTAGTGGTGTGGGAGAGCATCGTTGCAACGAACTGCTGATGGCACGTAGCTACGCGTACCAATGTCTTGGCTCTGGTTGGACGCCCACCACAAGTGCCACCACGTTAGGCAGTTGTGCTTCCATAAAATGATTCTCCTCGCTCATTTTGCACCACAAATGTAGTTCGCATTTAATACACTCCTGCCTCAATGATCGATTTCCGTCCTCGACCAACTGGTGCTGCCAACTGACCTTGCTGGCACGATATTTCGGAAGCATTTGCCATGTCATCCTCGTCTCAGGAACCACAGAATACTGGCGGGAAGTTGCTGATTCACAGCAGTTTGTGGTACCTGCTTGATTTAGATATCTTTAGGATAAGCCAGGGTGAGTTGGAGGGATTAGTGGCACCGCAGTGGAAGGGATCTGCACCGCGCGATGCGATTTACATCCATCTTCTATTTTGTCGGAACGCGCGTGTTGTCCCAACATGCCCCTTCCATTCCCCCTCGGCTTCTCCAGTCCCCCTCCAGCTCGTGCCTCTCTGCTACAAAGGCAACCATTCCGCCCGAGGTTTATCCACAACACATCCATTACAGCACCCAGCTCAGCCAGCCTCTTGTTTCGTGCTCGGCCTTCCATCCTTCTAATGCTCTTTCGCTTCTTCTTTTTACCCAAAGCTCGTTGTCTAGCTTCTTGAGAACGCAACATTACCCCTTACATATCAAAAGATGGCTACCCCTTCCGTCCAGCCGCTCAGCTCAAAGATCATCCGCAGCAAGCTCGACGACGTAGAGATTCGCGCCTTGGAGGGCAAGCTCGAGCTGCTCAACATCCAGCGCCAGCTCAGCGCCGTGCGCTGCGAAAACTTTATCCACATGCTCCAGTCGTCGCTGCAGCACGGCGGCGACGACGACGACTTCTCGCTCGAGCTCGACGATTTCCCCGTCCGCCGCTCAACCATCCCGTCGCGTCGCTCCTTCGAGGTCTCGTCGCGCCACTCGCACCTGTCGGAGGACTTCGCGTACCTCGATGCCGGCGCGGACCTCTCCCGCTCCCGTTCCAACCCCTCCGCGTCTGCCCCCCTCACGCGGTCGCTGGGCTCCCGTTCAGCGCGCTCCAGCACGTCGTCCCCCGCGGGGCTCACACGCTCGCTGCGGCGCCACGCCAGCCTCAACGTGCGCCGCAACGACATCTTCCGATGAAACCTTCCGCTCCGAAACACGCCCTTCCCACATCTTGACCGTTCTGTGCCGCGAGGTGCGCCCCGCAGCCCCCCCGCGGAAGTCGCGTTGTCGCTTCCACCACGCGTCTAAAGCCGCGACGAGCCCAATGATGTACACTCCGGCGCTCCAAGCGCGCTTCTCGCTCCTAAGAGGCTTCGTCCCGATGGTACGGAGACGTCAGCTCGAAGAGAGGACTCATTTGCCAGGCGAAGACAAGCAGAACTATTTTCAATGGCGCCACTCACGAGTATGCCAGTCGTTTGATTGTGATCACGGCAATGATGGTCCACGTGACTTTGATCAGTGGACGGCCTAAACGAGGTCCAGAGAACCACCATTTATTGATCCATCTGCCGCTGCAGATGAAATGCGTTGCTGCGCATATGCAATCTTTGTAAAACTTGTCATGAAATGTTTAAAATTATTATTACTTTCATATCCAAAAGAAGTGCCACTCATTTTCCAACATCATGAAAGCAAGCTGACCCCGGGCCACAGCAGACGTTTGTCCATCTGTTGCACAACAGGTCACAACAACGGGTCCCTGATGCAAGATTAGGTCCGCAACCCCTCTACTGAGCAAGTTGGGTGGGTCTGCACCTTCGCAGCGTTATTGTGCCGTCCATCCTTACATCTTTCCACCATGCCCCTTTTCATGCACTCCAGGCTTGGCAAATCATTATCACATGCAATGCAACTATCAGCGCCATCATTACAAGAATCCAGCAAGAAAACAACCTTAAGCTTGCACTGTTCCAAAAAACTAAAGCTGAGCCGTCATTCCGGCAGCATGCCTTCAAACTGCTCCGTGAAGTCATAGTCACTTCCCTCGCTCCCCTCCGCCTCCTCACCCCCGGCCCCCTTACCCGCCGCCCCGCCCTTGCCCTTCCCCCGTGTGCTCCCCACACCGCCCTCCTCCCCCCCCCCCCTCCCCCCCCAGGTGCTGCTGCTTCTTGCGGCGCTTCTTGTCGGCGCGGCGCTGATGCGGGTTGAGGATGCCTGCTGCTTCATACAGCACCTCGTTCTGCCGCAGATACTCCCTCCCCCGCATCACACCTGCCCTCTCCGCTGCCGCCACCGCATCCACGTCGTCCACGTGCATGCCGCCCGCCTCTGCCGCCTCTTCCTCCTCGTCCTCTTCCTCTCCCTCTTCAACCTGCAGCGGGAAACGATGCGCGGGAGGGTGCGTTAGTGTGGAATGGGCGAATGGAGGCGTCGTGCGAGGGAGACAGGAGATGTGGGGGAGAGGCGAGGGGAGTTGGAGAGAGCAAGAGTGGGTGGCATTGTGCTGCAGACACATGTAGCAAAACACAAGCACCATCATCACGAGCGCCACCACCATCACCACCATCACCACCATCACCACCATCACCACCGCCACCACCACGCACCTCATCTGTGACCATCATGGTGGCCGGCGCGCTAGCAGGCAGCACCGCATGCCCCGCCGCACCACCACCACCTCCCCCAGCAGGCGGGGCGAGGGCGCCCCCCTGGTGGGCCTGCCAGGCGCGCTGCTCGCTGGCCAGCACCTCGTGTGCGCCGAACTCGCCCCCCCACGCGCCCACCAGCGCCGCCCCCTCCTCGTGCTCCTCCGCCCCCTCCACCGCCTCCGACGCAGGTGACGGCGGCAGTGTGTAGTACGGGATGCGCCCTGCAAGATGGGGAGGCGGATGAGAGGGGAAAGAGGAGTAGCACGAGGGAGGGATGTGCACACGTGGAGATGGGTGAGAGAGTTTGAGAAGAGGAGGTGGTTGGTGCAGGGGGAGAGCTGGGTGCGGTTGTTGATCGGATACAGCGCTCTGCAGCAGCAGGGCAGCAACGCACCTCACCCATCCCACTGCTACACTGCCTCGCCTGTCCCTTCACCTTACCATCCCCCTTCTCCCCCCCCCCCACACTTCCTCCCCCCTTCACACACCTTCATTCCACTCGCGCAGCACAATGCGCGCAGCAGCAAGTGTGTCCGGCACGCCGCCCTTCTTCAGCCGCCCGCGCTTCTGCGCTACCTGCCGAAGGAAGCTGTCCACGGGGCCGCCCGCCCCGTCCTTGTAGGCGGCGGTCTCGTCGAGGCCGTAGACGGCGTTTAGGTGCGCCCGCGGGCACAGCTGTAGTATGCGCTCCACTGGGGGGGGAGAGGGGGGGAAGAGAGCGGAGGGGAAACAAGAGGAGAGGTGGGGTTAGGAAGAGTGCGTGTTGAGAGGGTGTGGGGCTTGCGGCAAGGATGTGGTGACTGGCGCAGGGAGGTGGATGAGGCACTGAGGGCCCAGATTGGCAGGGACGAGGCAGAGCAAGGGGGAGGCAGGACACAGGGGAAAAGTTGACGGTGGGGTGGAATGCGGTGGTACCCGGTGCAAAGGGGTCGAGCAGCGCCTCGGGGCGGATGGCATTGCGCAGCGCAGCAGCAGCCTCGTCGTCCTTCCCCCCTCCGCCTCCCCCTCCGCCTCTCCCCCCTCCCCCTCCCCCCGACAGCACGACCCCCGGCGAGTCAATGAGGCGAACGAGTTTGTCCAGCTGCACCTCCTGCAGCGCGCGCGTCACGCCTGCCGTGGCGCCCGCCTTGGCCACGCGCGCGCGCGCTTGAGCGAGTTGATCACACTGCTCTTGCCCACGTTCGGGAGGCCCACCACTCCCACCCTGATCGCCGTCTTGATCTGATGAGGGGAACAGTGGCGACGGGGGAGGGAGGGGAGGGGGAGAGAGGAGTGGTGAGAGGCGGACATCATACAGACACAGTCACTCTCATTCCGCTGCTGGAACAGCCTCCCCTCCATCCCCATGCACCCCGTGCGCCCATGCGCCCCTACTCTCCCCCCCCATCCCCCCCCTCACGTCTTTGTTGCGGCAGTAGTTCTTGAGCAGCTGGATGAGAGTATCCGCGCCGAAGCACTCGCTGCCCTCCGCGCCCGCCGCGCCCCCCGCCTCCTCCCCCTCCCCGCGCGGCAGCAGCGGCTGCGGCGCGGCGGCGCGGTTAGGGTCGGCGCGGGAGGGTCGGGAGGCGCGCGCGAGGTGCGCGCGCTGCGCCTGCGTGGAGGCCTTGAAGGCCACGGCGGGCAGCTCGCGGCGGAAGTACGCCAGCCAGCGCTGCACCACGTCGCGCGGCACCAGGTCTGGGGGAAGGGGGGAGGGGGAAGGGGAGGGGGAGGGGCGCGGCGGGGAGGCGTGAGAATGGGGGGGGAAGGGTGTGTGTGTGAGTTTGCTCGGGGTTGGATATTCGGGTTGCGGGTGAGAGAGAAGGCAGGGGGAGGGGAGAGAGGGAGTGGCGGAGAGAGGGAGGCGCGACTGACCGATTTTGTTGAGCAGCAGCACGATGCGCTTGTGCGCGCCGCTGCGCGCCACCATGTCCTCCAGCTGGCGGCAGCGGCCGCCCAGCGGGTCGCGCGCGTCGAGCACGAGCAGAACCACATCCGCCGCCTCAACCACCGCGCGCAACTCGCGCATAAACGCCCGCTGCCCTCCCGCTGCGCGCGCCCGCGGGGAAAAGGTGAGGGCGGGGGGTTGTGGGGGGAAAAGGGGAAGCGGGGAAGGAGACAAGGGGGTTGAAGAAAGTGAGTTGAGAGGAGGGAGAGGAGGGGAAGAGGAAGGACGGCGGCTGTTGCAGGGAGCACGAATGCAGCGGATATGCGCCGAACGTTCCGTACTGCATGTTCCCTCGGTCGGGTTTCGGGCTTAAGGTTTAGGCCCTCCTAACCCCTTCAGCCTGATTGGGACTCATGATTAGTGAAGTTTGCCCCCTTCCCATTGCCTCCCGCGCACCCACCTTTCCCCTTGCCCGCTTGCCCCTCCGCCGCCTCCTCCCGCTCTCTCTTCCGCTTCTCAAACTCCGCGCCCCTCTCCATCGCCCCCTTCACCATCCCCGCCATCGCCGCCCCGCTAGTCACGCGCCCACTTTCCTGCCCCTCCTCCTCCCCCTCACCCCCCATCTCCGCGTCTTCCTCATCCTCCGCGCCTTCGGCGCCCGGCAGCGGCCCCTCCTCCGGCAGCCCCGCGCGGCGCCGCCTCGCCTGATGGGGGAGGGGGGGAGGGAGGATGGGGGGATGGGCCGATGGGGGAGAAAGGAGGGGAGGGAGGGAGAGAGTGGCAGGGATTCGGGGTTTAACGGCAACGAGCGAGGGGTGTCGGACGAAAGGGGCAATGCGGGGTGCGCGCTGGCGGGGAGAATGGGCGTAGAAAGGAGAATTTGACATTCCTTGGCTCTCTGTCCTCGCTCGCGCACCCATCCCCCTTCCCCCCGCACGCACCCGCTCCTTCTTCTCCGCCTTCTTCGCCTCGCGTTCCTCCAGCCCGCGCTGCCGCCGCGCCTCGAGCGCCGCGAGCTCCTCTTCGCGGAACGGCCAGTCGTTGGGGATGCCCGGGTCCTTCTCCACGCGCCGCCTCGGCGCGACGCCGTCGCGGCGCGCCTTCTTGGCCTCCTTGAGCTTCTTCTTGGCGTGCTCCTTCACCTTGCGGATGACTTTGTACTTCTGCCGCAGCGTCACGCGCTTGCTCTTGCTCTCTGCGTGCGCGCAACGGGGACACGGTGTGGCGGGGGAAGAGTGGGAGGGGGTCGGAACAAGAAGGGCGGTATGGGAAAAGTCAGTCGGAGGGCGCGAGGGGAAACGCGACGGGATGAGGAGATGGTGTTTGCATAGAACGAGACTGACGAGGCATGACGCGACCATGCAATCACGAGGCACGATAAGCACCGCAATCACGCCGCAAGCATCAAACCGCTTATTCTCAAACGATCGACATAAACTTACTCTTGCTTCGCTTCACCATGCTTGCTGCTGATTGGCCCGCTCGAGCTGCTTTGAGGTCGTTAGGAGACGCGAATCTGGAATTAGCGCGGCGGAAGGAACAACGCGGAGGAGAACGTGGAGATGAAAGCGAGAGTAGTGGTTTGACGGGGACTGACGCGAACGGAAGGTAAAGGAAAGGAGAGCAGAATGTGCAAGTGTGGGGTCTGAAGGTCTTATTAGGGATTTATCAAGGGGTCGGGGTTTGGGTTCGGCAACTTCCCGCGAAATGAGTGACGGTAACCCTATTCTCGTCCAGCATTGTCTGGATATTTTTGAATGTTGTGTGATAAGCATTCAGTTGAATGCGGTTTGGCGAGATGTTTTGCGCGGCAGTGTGGTTCGATTACGTTTTAGATCGTTCGGGTGAGATTTTGAGCGTTGATAAACTCGAAGGTATGCCTGAAGCCGCAAACTACAGTACCCAAATCTGACTCCCACCCCTGCCCGCAAATCCTTTCCCTTCTCTGGGTTGTCGCCTAGCTGCGTGCTGTGTGCCCGCCACGTGCGCGCAACTCCTAAACACGTTGTAACGATCAGCGCCTGAAGTCATTGGCTCGTCGTGTGGGAAGCATCGCGGGGTGCCATGACCTCGATCGTATCGCTGCCCATGCGCCGATTCCTCCGCTCCTCGCCGTTAGATCAGCTCGCGCCGCGCTCCTATAAGAATTCGTCGTCACCCTCCTCGATGGCAACACCAGATCGCGTCAGTCTAAGCAGCGGCTCGTCGCTCATTGGCCAGTCGCTCGGCACAGGTACGCGCGAAGCGCGAAACGGCGGTTGAGTAGACGGCGGTGAGGGTCTGAACTGAAATGTAAAACCGATATAAGTCTCGCTGAAGCATCTGGTTGCAAGCCACCAGTCGTTCCGCCTCCCCCTCCGCTCCCCCGATCCGCGGCGCTGCGTCCTCATGCGCCACCGCATCTGCCAGCGCGCCGCATTTCCCGCTTTAACCCGCACCTCCCCTCCACGCCTTCCCCTTGCGCCAACAGTCGACTCCCCCAGTGGCTCCCCGCGTCGCTCTTTCAGCGCCGAGCGCCCGCCAGTCGCGTCGCGCCACGGGCAGGCGTCGCCCGCGCGGGCGCGCGCCGTGCTACAGTCGCAGTCGGACAGCGAGGGAGGAGCGAACGGGAACGGGACAGGTGTCCCGCTGCGAGTGGCGTACCAGGTGAGCGCAGCGCGACAGCGTGGCTGCGTAGTCACGTCTCCGCGACCGCCTCACACCGCTCCCCATCGCGCGGTCGTTCTACTCCGCACATCCCCCCTCACGGCCCGCCTTGCATCCGCCACCTCCGCTCGCCCTCTTCACTCACGGAGCGCGGTCGGGCCTCGTCTACTCCCCCCCCCCCCTTCCCTGCGCCACCTCCTTCAAATCCCCCCACTCTTCCCCCCCTTTCCCCCAGGGCGTGCCGGGCGCGTACAGCGAGATGGCGGCGATGCGCGTGTACCCGGGGTGCTCCCCCGTGCCCTGCGACCAGTTCGACGACGCCTTCAAAGTAAGCCCTCCCCCCGCAACCCCTAACCCCCACGCGCCCCGCATGCGCGCACACACCCAAGCCAGTGGGACCTTGGCCGTTTCAATGCAGTATCTGCATTCCTCCTCCTCCTCTCCGCGCATCCCTCCATCCTTCCCCTTGCGACCCACACCCCCTTCACTCTTCCACTTCTCCCCTTTGCCTCCCACTTCCCCCTCCCCCGCTCCCGCGCGCATTGGTCCCCCAGGCGGTGGAGCAGTGGCTGGTGGGGCGCGCGGTGCTGCCGATAGAGAACAGCCTGGGGGGGTCGATCCACCGCAACTACGACCTGCTGCTGCGGCACCGCCTGCACATCGTGGGCGAGGTGCACCTGCCCGTGCACCACTGCCTGCTCGCGCTGCCCGGCACGCACACCACCCAGCTCACGCGTGTGCTCTCACATCCCCAGGTAAGTGCAAGGGGGATGGGGGTGGGTTGCTGGGTTGCTGGGTTGCTGGGTTGCTGGGTTGCTGGGTTGCTGCTGCAACACCGCCTGCACATGGTGTTGTGGGCGAGGTGCACCTCCCCGTGCACCACTGCCTGCTCGCGCTCCCCGGCTCCACGCCTGACCAGCTCACTCGCTTGCTCTCGCATCCCCAGGTGGGTGTAGGGGGTAGAGGGGGAGGAGGGAGAGGGGGGAGAAAGAAGGGGCGGAGTGAGTGCCGTGCGGGCAAAGGAGGGCGCGGCAGCAGGGTGAGCGGGGTCGCTGCAGCGCGTGCCTTGCATGGGTCTGCCATAGGGTTCACTTCTCTCACCTCCTCTCTTCCTCCTCCCCTCTCTCCCCCTTTTCCTTTCCCCCACCTCCCTCTCTCCCTCTCCCCTTCATCCCTTCTCGCACTGCGCCCACGCCACCACCTTTCCTGCTCCCCCTTTCCGCCCCTTTCCCCCGTCTTCCCCCTTGCTCCCCCGGAGCGAAGGCGTTGGCGCAGTGCGAGGCGACACTGAATGGGTTGGGAGTGGTGCAGGAAGCCGTCTACGACACGGCTGGGGCTGCTCAGGTGCGTACCAGCCGCTCAGGTGACAGGGGCTGCTGGGGGCCGCTCAGGTGACAGGGGCTGCTGGGGGCCGCTCAGGGGGGTGCTGCTGGGGTGGGCAGGCGGGTTGTGAGTTGTCTCACAAAGTTGTTGCAAGTTCGCCTCTGTGGTCTGCTAAACCCTTGCACTCTACTCAACTCACTCCACCGCCATGCCTTGTGCTGCCCAATGCTGTGCTGCCACGTGGCAGATGGTGGCGAATCAGAAGATGGAGGGCGTGGGGGCAGTGGCGAGCACGCGGGCGGCGGAGATCTACGGCCTTGAGATCCTGGCGGAGGGCATTCAGGTGAGATCCTGGCGGAGGGCATTCAGGTGGGATCCTGGCGGAGGGCATTCAGGTGGGATCCTGGCGGAGGGCATTCAGGTGGGATCCTGGCGGAGGGCATTCAGGTGAGATCCTGGCGGAGGGCATTCAGGTGGGATCCTGGCGGAGGGCATTCAGGTGGGATCCTGGCGGAGGGCATTCAGGTGGGATCCTGGCGGAGGGCATTCAGGTGGGATCCTGGCGGAGGGCATTCAGGTGGGATCCTGGCGGAGGGCATTCAGGTGGGATCCTGGCGGAGGGCATTCAGGTGGGATCCTGGCGGAGGGCATTCAGGTGAGATCCTGGCGGAGGGCATTCAGGTGGGATCCTGGCGGAGGGCATTCAGGTGGGATGGTAGAGGGGCTGTAGGCATGTGGGGTCGTAGAGTGCAGATGCTGTGCTCCTGTCTCCCACTTCCTTCTCCTCTCCTCTCATCCTTCCCTCTTCTCCCTCGCTTGTCTCTCCGCCAATCCCTCGCTTGTCTCTCCGCCAATCCCTTGCTTTCCTTCCGTCCCTCCTCGCGTCCCCCCTTTCCCTCTCTCCACCATCCTCCTCCACCCCCCCATCAGGACGAGGCGGACAACTTCACGCGCTTCCTGGCGCTGGCGAGGGACCCCGTGCTGCCCTCCACCGACCGCCCCTTCAAGGTGGGTGCTGCCCTCCACCGACCGCCCCTTCAAGGTGCGCCATCGCATCGCCCTCCAACCTCGCCCTTCTGTCACTCCCCGCCCAAGCTCCCTCCCTCGTCTTCCTCCTTTACTTTTTTCTGCGCCACCATGCCTGCCTCTCACCATGCCTGCCTCTCACCATGCCTGCCTCTCACCATGCCTGCCTCTCACCATGCCCGCCTACACCATCGCTACTCCTTCGCCCTCACCACCCTCCATACCTGCACCCCTGCACTCCCCTCCCTCTTCCCCCCCCATGTGTGTCCACCCCACCAGACGAGCATAGTGTTCACATTGGAGAAGGGCGCGGGAGTGCTCTTCAAGGCGCTCTCCGTCTTCGCCCTCCGCGACATCAACCTTACTAAGGTCACTGCCTTCCCGTACCGCACCGCACCACACCGCACTGCACCACACCTCTCTGCTGTTTCCTGCTTCACTGGTCCCCGGTGTGTGGCATGTGCGTGCACGTTTGGATCACTCGCACTCATCTTATGCTGCCTCTGTGTGCCACCATGTGTCCATGTGCATGCTTGCTTGTGCGCACCTGTGCGTGCGTGTGTGCACGCACGTGTTTGCTTGTGTATGTGTGTGCACACACGTGTTTGCTTGTGTATGTGTGTGCACACGCGCGCGCACGTGCATTTGCTCGTGTGTGTGCATGTGTGTGTGCATGTGTGTGTGCATGTGTGTGTGCATGTGTGTGTGCATGTGTGTGTGCATGTGTGTGTGCGCATTACCGTATGTGTGCATGCACACGATCACAGATAGAGTCGCGGCCGCACAGGGACAAGCCGCTCTATGTGGACTGGTTGGATCGCTCCTCTCTCGCTGCGCCCGCCATGCCCCTCTCAGACACCCCTGCCGCCGCCTCTCAAGAGTCAGTTCTCCTCCCCCCACCTCTCTCCTTCCTCCTTGTTCTCTTGCCCTCGTTCACATGACCTTGTCTTCTCATGCACATCCCTCTGCAGTTTCTACCTCAATCACTCACCCACTCACTCACCCACTCACTCACCCACTCACTCACCCACTCACTCACCCACTCACTCACCCACTCACTCACCCACTCACTCACCCACTCACCACTCAACCACCCACTCACCCACTGACTCACCCACTCAACCACTCACTCACCCACTCACCCACTCACTTGCTCACATACTTACACTCTCACTTTCTCACATACTTACACACTCACTCACTCACTCACTTACTCACACACTCGTTCACTCATGCTGTTGCCACCACCCTGCCAACCTACCTGACCACCCCTGTCACCCTCGTTGCCCCTCCATCTCCCCACCATCCCCCCCACAGCAGCAGCGCCATGGCGTACCAGTCGTTCGACTACCTGTTCTACATCGACTTCCAGGCATCCCTCGCCGAGCCCCGCGTGCAGAACGCCATGCGCCACCTCCAGGTCTGCCCTGCCTCCTCCTGCGCCTCACGCTATCCCTCCTGGCCTCCTCTCCCTCTCCTCATTTCCGCCTTGTCTCATTCGCACACTTCCCTTCCCCCCTCCTCGCATCACTGCTCTCACACCCCACATGTCTGTCCCCCATCCCACCCATGCCACCAGGAGATGGCGCCGTTCCTGCGCGCAGCTACCCCATGGACGTCAACCCCATGGACGTCAACCCCATGGACATCAACCCCATGGACGTCAACCCCATGGACGTCAACCCCATGGACGTCAACCCCATGGACGTCAACCCCATGGACGTCAACCCCATGGACGTCAACCCCATGGACGTCAACCCCATGGACTACTCCCCTCCGCCCCACCCTCCAGCCTCTGAGGAAGCTCGAGCTGCCTCAGGCCAGACGTGGCTGTTGATCCCGCTCACTGCACTCACTCTGCGCCCTGCTCACGTGTGTGTCCCCCCCCCCACCCCATCAGGAGATGGCGCCATTCCTGCGAGTGCTGGGCAGCTACCCCATGGACGTCAACCCCATGGAGCCCCCCTCCTCCTCCACACCCTCACCACCCGCCACCCTCTGAGCGAGCTCGCGCTGCCCACACGCCAGGCCTGGCTGGTGATCTCGCTCCCATGCCGCGTGCTGCCATGCCGCATACTGGCAGGCACACACACAGGGTGCAAGCACGGGGGCGTGCCATGCTTGTCCCACCACTGCCAGCAGTCTTCCCTATCATGCCGAGTGCATGCTTGTACGAGCACCACTTGTCACACGTACACTCTTGCCTTAGTCGTGTCTCACAGTGCTGAGTGGCGCTGAATCAGCTTTCCTCAACTTGGCCTTTGTGCTGTACTACATTTCTACTAAGCGGCCCAATATGATAATAAACGTGTAATTACAGTCCATGCTCCTGACCTCTTTGCACCCGCATTGCGCGGATACCTACGGTACAACACATTGCCTCTTTATTGCACATGCACACAGCTAGCTAAAGGAGCAGAGAGAGCAGAGCATGCAGCACTCTACATGTGGCAGAGGACTGTCCCAGCATGAGCAGGGCACACATGCAGGGAGGGCGAGCAGGCTTGAGTCTTGAGCAGCAGGATGGTGCGGTGGGAGTGGAAGAGTGCAGGGCGGCCAGTTCAGACGTTGCAGCAGCCGTGGCGGCAGCAGGTGGAGGGGAAGCGGCAGCAGTAGGGTTCTCCGCGCTGGTTGCGGCAGCACGACCCGGGGCGGCGCTCGCAGCACACCTTGCCGCCACAGCACGGGTAGTGGTGGTGGTCCTGTGGCGTTGGCACGGGGGGGAGGGGGGGGATTGGGTGCGGGGAAGAGGAGGAGAGGGGGTTGAGGAGGAGGAGACTGGGGTGATGATGCGTGGATGTGCGAGGTAACGGGAGAATGGACAGCACTCTACCCGGGCAAGGACTAACCGTATAGGCATGTGTGTGTGTGTGTGTGTGTGTGTGTGTGTGTGTGTGTGTGTGTGTGTGTGTGTGTGTGTGTGTGTGTGTGTGTGTGAGGGGTGTGTGCATGTGAGGGGTGTGTGCGTATGTGTGCATGTGTGAGGGCGTGTGTGTGTGTGTGGCGTGTTTTCGTGCGTGTGCTTGTTCGTGCGCGTGCGCCTGTGCGTATGCGTGTGTGTTTGTGTGGAGGCAGGGAGCAAGCGGAGGGGCGGAGCGCGGAGGGGGCAGCGCGTACAATGCAGCAAGAGCCGTTGCAGAAGATCCGCGCGGGGCTGCAACCCGCCGTCCCTGCGAACTCGCAGAACCCCGCGCCAGGCGCGCACGTCAGTGACGGGAAGGTAGGGGGCGGCGGGGAGACGGCGGGGTCGGAGGGGGTGGTGGTGGGCGGGGAGGGCGCGGACGGCGACGAGGTCACCCCGGATTGGTCGTGGTCGCGCGAATGGTCGTCGCCATCGTCGCCATCACTTCCATCGTCGTCATGATGGTCGTAATGTTCGTCGTGGTCGTCGTGGTCGTCGTAATCGTGGTGGTCGTCGTGCGACGAGTCGTCATTCACCTCGCCTTCCTCCTCCGCGCGCCAATGCGAGCGCAACTTTCCCTGCGAGCGCATCCGATCTGTGCTTCCGCCGTCATCGCTGCTCTCCTCCCGCTCGTCGTCCTCCTCTAGCGCTCGCCCGCGCGCGACGTGCAGAGATGCGCGGGAAAGCGCGGGGCGGAAGAGGGCCGCGGCGAGAAGCGCGCAGAGCGCGAGCCCGGCGAACGAGAGGCGTCGCGTTGTGAGTAGCGAGACGCGGGGAGGCGCCATGGCGGGGAGAGCGGACGTGCGGGGGACCGCAGGCGGGAATGGAGAGTTCGAGGCGGAGCGGGCTGGCGCTGTGTGCGCCCGCGTTGAAGGCGCGCGTGTTTGGGCGAGGGGCAGCAGAGATTCGGAATGGTGGAAACGTGGAGGCCGAATGTGGTGTCGGGTTTGTGTGCGACTATTATATGTACAGCTCGGGGAGGGCAGGCTTTGAGTACAGAATGGATTTGGACGGTCTGTGCGGAGGGATGGACGGACGGATGGGTAATGGCGGTGGCGCCGTGCGGATGAGGGGTGTGCTGCTGGAGTGCTCTGGTTGGGCAATGGGCTTTGCCTCGCGTTTGGCTTCTGAAATCTGGGCTTTGCGGCGGCGCGTTGAAACGATTCCTCCAACTGAGATGCGGCTCGACCAGGTGAATGCTTAGCGCCTCCAGGCTTGTGCCGAACGCATGGCTGTGGCTCGACAGGCTTGTGGGAGAAGCGAGAACCAGAAGCTTCAGGGAAGGCCTCGAGCACAGTACCAGGCGCTATGTACAAACCGATTCGTTATTGCACTTTCTAGTTGCACATGGCTGTCTGGATTCGCAGTCCTCAATTTCGACAATCCGTACAAACGGCTGCTAATGGGGATAATTCTTTTTACACTTCACAAACAAGAAAAGCTTCCCAGTGCGAAATGGTTGAAAGAAGTGAAGCTTTGCATAGCCTGTCAATTTTACACCCTCATTCAAATACACATTGGCAAATGGCTTTTTTTTGCATCCTCTCTGTTACCGTATGTAGAGCACTTAGATTGGAACACCCAACACCTCACTGCTAACTAGCACCAACAGTACATCACATCATGTATGTAGCAGCAGGTCACCAAATGTCTCTTAGATACCTACCCTGCTCTGCTAAACCATCCAACAATGCTACTGCCGCCTCCTTCGCCATCTTACCCTGCAGCACACCCACAACCGTGGACACACACATTGGTATGGACACACACATTGGTATGGACACATGCACACACACATTGGTATGGACACATGCACACACACATTGGTATGGACACATGCACACACACATTGGTATGGACACAAGCACACACACATTGGTATGGACACATGCACACACACATCGGTATGGACACAAGCACACACACACGGATGGATGGATGGATGGATGGATGGATGGATGGATGGATGGATGGATGGATGGATGGATGGATGGATGGATGGATGGATGGATGGATGGATGGATGGATGGATGGATGGATGGATGGATGGATGGATGGATGGATGGATGGATGGATGGATGGATGGATGGATGGATGGATGGATGGATGGATGGATGGGTGGACGAACGGACGGACGGACGGACGGATGGATGGATGGATGGATGGGCGCTGAGCAACAGCAGACGTAAAGCACACAGCGGCAGAGCAGAGAGAGAGGGGGGAATTAAACTTGTGCAGGACACCCCAGCAGAGCGCCCACCGACCTGCTCCACAGCGACCTCGAGCAGCGCATGGTGCACGTCCCTGGCCATGGCCTTGGCGTCCCCACACACGTACACACTGCCTCCCCGCCTCCCCACCACCTGCCACACCCTCTCCGCCTGTGCCACCGCCGCATGCACACAGACACATGCACACAGACACACGCACACAGACACATGCACACATACACACACACACGCGCACAGAGGAGAAACATGGTGAGGCAATATGATACGCATTCTTATACGTCAACAAGTGTGCGAGCATGCCTGGGCAAGCAGGTTCGGACAAACCTGGAGTCAAATGGCACCACCAACCCAATCAGCACACTTGGCACTTAGCAGGTGCTGCACGCCCCTTTCACAAGCAGCGCACCTCTTGCTTGAGCAGGTGCTGCACGCACCTCTTGCTTGAGCAGGTGCTGCACATACCTGTTGCTTGAGCAGGTGCTGCACGTAGACCTTGGAGGGCCCGTCTCGCGAGAAGGCCACGTGCAGCGCTGACAGCACGCCGCTCTCCTCATACGCTGCCAGCTCCTCCCGGTATATGTAGTCCTGCGCGCAGGCAGGGACCAGGGGAGGTGGCGGGCGCACGGGATTCGAGGGATGCATGGACTGTTATTGTGCGTGCACACAAGTTGGTGCCGAAATGTGGCACACGTAAAGATGCACATCAACATCTCAAGGCACACCGCACCAGTGCTCACTTCCCATCCTTTCCTGCTCCCTCCCCCATCCCCGCTCTCACTCCCTTTCCCAATCCTCCCCCACTCCTTCCCTCACGACCCTCCCACTGCACTGCACTGCACGCCCCACTGCATGTGCCACTGTCCCGCATCTGCCTGCTCCAATTCTCCCCTGCCTTCCCCCCATGCGTGCCTCTCCCCCTCCCCCGCAGCACCTGGTGGCGGTGGCGGCACCCAAAGAACAGAAGCGCCTCCCCCAGCTGCTGCCCGCCCTTCTGCAGCAACGCGCGGTGCTGCGGAGGGATAGGGGAGGAGAGAAAGAGGGGGAAGGGAGCATGTGAAAAGGGAGGGGTGGAGGCGAGGAGGACGTGGAAGAAGAGTGGAGTGCGGTGTGGGGACTTGGCTGCCCCACTCGCTGCCACGCGGCCAGAGACAGCATGCGGTGCCAGGGGGTGCGGCGTGCCAATGGAATAACAGCTGGCAGGCGTGGAGGGCAGAGGGGCAGTGGAAGCAGAGGGGCAGTGGAAGCAGAGGGGCAGTGGAAGCAGAGGGGCAGTGGAAGCAGAGGGGCAGTGGAAGCAGAGGGGCAGTGGAAGCAGAGGGGCAGTGGAAGCAGAGGGGCAGTGGAAGCAGAGGGGCAGTGGAAGCAGAGGGGCAGTGGAAGCAGAGGGGCGGCACCTGCAGGAAGGCTCTGAAGGGCGCGAGGCCGGTGCCGGGGCCGACCATCACGATGGGGCGCGTGGGGTCGGTGGGCGGGCGGAAGTGCGACGAGCGGATGAACGCCGGCAGCAGCACGGGGGGCGAGGGGGCGGGGGAGGTGGAGGCGGGGGTGGGCAGGGGGAGGTGGCGGTGCAGGAAGGAGGAGCAGACGCCGTGGTGGATGCGGCCTGCTGGGGTGATGTCCCTCACCACCGCACACGTTATGTGCAGTGCGCCCGGCTCGTGCCTGGGCATACAGCACAGGGCGCAATGGGGGTAGGGGCAGAGGGACAGAGGGTAGAGACCATGGGAAGTGGCAGCAGGCAGTCCTGGGGGGGGAAGCGGAAGAGTGCACGTGTGTGGAGAGTGGGATGTGGCCGGGCATGCTATAGAAGGTGAAGAGGAAAAGGCGAGGAGGAAATGAGATGCAAGAGACGCACAAGAGGAGCAAACATAAGGATGGATTCTGTTGGCGGGGATTGGTGGAGTGTGGATGGAATGACACACGTGGGCCGTGTGGCAGGGTGCATCAGAACACTCAGCAGGGAGGCAATGCGGGAAGAGAGAGCGCACCTGGGGTGGGAGGAGATGGAGTAGAAGCGCGGCTGCAGGCGCGGCGCAACGGAGGCGAGGAACACAGCGAGGGGCGGGCGCGCAGAGGGGAATGCCTGCAGCACCTCCAGCAGCGAGCGGTGTGCCGCCGCCACCCACTCGCGGTACTCCGCCTTGCCTCCGTCGCTGGCCAGGTGCTTGAGGCGTGCCGCCTCGTCGGGGTGGGAGGCAAAGTGCGCCAACACTGCCAGCGCTGCCTGGTGCAGCGCGGCCAGCGCAGTGGGAAAGAAGGAGGTCGCGTTAGGGCATGGGAAGGGACGGGCGGCAACAGGTGTGCAGAGGGGGATGGGCGGGTGACACTGCTTGGCACAGCTGGCAGCAAGTAGGAGGAGCCTGTGCTGATATAAATGCACAGCAAGGGCACCAAATGCAAAAGAGAGGCAGGGAAAAAGGTTGACCTTGCGCGGCGAGGAGTGGAGGTCAGGCAGCGAGGCGAGCACGGAGCGGATGGAGTGGCGGCCGGGAGGGGGCGGTGGCAGGGAGGACGAGGGCGAGGGGAGATGCAGGGAGATGACGTCATCCAGGTCCAATCCCAGACACTTGGCCACTGCTGCCACGTCAGCGTCGCTGTTCTCAGGAAACACTGCCACGTGGTCGCCCACCTCGTACCTGCATGGCATGTCACGGGATGGCAGGGGATGGCAGGGGATGGCAGGGGATGGCAGGGGATGGCAGGGGATGGCAGGGGATGGCAGGGGATGGCAGGGGATGGCAGGGGATGGCAGGGGATGGCAGGGGATGGCAGGGGATGACCGGGGATGGCCGGGGATGGCAGGGGATGGCAGGGGATGGCAGGGGATGGCCGGGGATGGCAGGGGATGGCCGGGGATGGCCGGGGATGGCAGGGGATGGCAGGGGATGGCCGGGGATGGCCGGGGATGGCAGGGGATGGCAGGGGATGGCAGGGGATGGCCGGGGATGGCAGGGGATGGCAGGGGATGGCAGGGGATGGCAGGGGATGGCCGGGGATGGCCGGGGATGGCAGGGGATGGCAGGGGATGGCAGGGGATGGCAGGGGATGGCAGGGGATGGCAGGGGATGGCAGGGGATGGCAGGGGATGGCAGGGATGGCAGGGGATGGCAGGGGATGGCAGGGGATGGCAGGGGATGGCAGGGGATGGCAGGGGATGGCAGGGGATGGCAGGGGATGGCAGGGGATGGCAGGGGATGGCAGGGGATGGCAGGGGATGACCGGGGATGGCCGGGGATGGCAGGGGATGGCAGGGGATGGCAGGGGATGGCAGGGGATGGCCGGGGATGGCAGGGGATGGCAGGGGATGGCAGGGGATGGCAGGGGATGGCAGGGGATGGCAGGGGATGGCAGGGGATGGCAGGGGATGGCCGGGGATGGCAGGGGATGGCAGGGGATGGCAGGGGATGGCCGGGGATGGCCGGGGATGGCAGGGGATGGCCGGGGATGGCAGGGGATGGCAGGGGATGGCTGGGGATGGCCGGGGATGGCCGGGGATGGCAGGGGATGGCCGGGGATGGCCGGGGATGGCAGGGGATGGCAGGGGATGGCAGGGGATGGCAGGGGATGGCCGGGGATGGCCGGGGATGGCAGGGGATGGCAGGGGATGGCAGGGGATGGCAGGGGATGGCCGGGGATGGCAGGGGATGGCAGGGGATGGCAGGGGATGGCAGGGGATGGCAGGGGGTGGCAGGGGATGGCAGGGGATGGCAGGGGATGGCAGGGGATGGCAGGGGATGGCAGGGGATGGCAGGGGATGGCAGGGGATGGCAGGGGATGGCCGGGGATGGCAGGGGATGGCAGGGGATGGCAGGGGATGGCAGGGGATGGCAGGGGATGGCAGGGGATGGCAGGGGATGGCAGGTGGCAATGAGGGTGTGGTTGCAGTGGCAAGTGGTTGCTTGTGGCAAGTGGTTGCTTGTGGGGGGCCGAGACGAGCATACTGCAGATGCGGGCAGGGCGAGAGGTCGAGCTCCACATGCAGCGTGGATCTGTCTGAGTTGGGCGCCTGCAGCTCCCTCACCACTGCCACCCGCGCCCTGCCATGTGCATGAGAGATACACGCCACACGCACGCCACATAGACGCCAGCAGGCCAGCAGGTGGAAGGAGAGGGGAAAATCGGGAGACAGAGGTGAGAGGGTTGAAGGAAGCAGATGAATCAGCAGGGTAGTGTGATCAGTCTAGGGAATGTGATGTTGGAAAAGGCCGGAGGCAACCAACACACAGATGCGAGTAGATTTTGTAAAAATGTGTTCTCTTTTACCCTCGAATATTACCAAGATTGCACACATTGGGCGTACAAGCTTGACAAAAGGGACCGCCCAATAGCTTCCAACCGAGCTTAGTGGTGGGGTGGGGGCCAGTGCTGTTCATCCGAATCCCAAACAACCCCTTATACCTTTCTCACTTTCCGGTTTCTAGTACCGCTCACCTGCCAATGCTGTGCGAGTGCCACCCGACAGCAGCAATCGCCTCCCCCATGCTCATCTGCTCCTCCTCCTCCTCCCCGCCATTCTTATGCTCCCCCACGCCATTCACCTGCTTTTCTCCTCCATTCACCTTCCCATTCGTCTCCCCGTTCATCTTGCCATTCATCTCTTCATGCACGTGCCCATTCAACCCCCCGTTGAGTTCTCCATTCTCCCCAGCAACCCCAGCCTGCCCCACTCGGCTGTGGAACCGCACTTGATATTCCTGCACCTCCTCCTCCTCGTCCTCCCACTCCCCCGCTGCCCCCTCGCCCTGCTGCCCCTCGCCCCCCGCCCCCCGGCCCAGCACGAGCGCCTCAAAGCCCTTCCACAGCCCCGCCCGCCTGCCAACGATGCACACGTGGGGGACGAATGGGGTGAGAGGGGTGAGTGGGGCAAGAGAGGTGAGTGGGTGCGAGTGGGGACGAGTGGCTGAGTGAGTGAGAGGCTGAGTGAGGGCGAGTGGTGGCGAGAGGGGTAAGGCATGGGGTGCAGGGGGGAGGCAGATTCAGGACGACGTACTCACCAGGCCTTGAAGTCGTCCTCGATGCACTGGTCGTCGTCTCCCAACCCCACCTCCGCCACGCGCTGCCCGCCTGCCAGACAATACAATATACCACACGCGGTGAGGTCATGGATGGGGGGTGGTGATGGTGGTTGATGCGGGGTGATGGTTGGGGGAGCGGAGAGCAGAGAGGTGGGTGGGGTGGGGGAACAGCAACTGACGCAGAGCGATTGCTGGCACGGCGCATGAGGCGAAGGAAGACGCGGTAGCCAGGGAGGGCAGGCAGGGTATGGGAGGGTATGGAGGGCAGGGAGGGCGGGGAGGGCAGGGAGGGCAGGGAGGGCAGGGAGGGCAGGGAGGGTATGGGGTAGCAGCGTACCGAGGGCAGCGAGGTGCTTGTCAAGCATCTTGCCCATCTGCACGCGCACACACACAGAGCAATGGGGGTGGGCACACACAAGGTGGAGTTGGAAGATGAGGCGGTGTGAAGTATGAGGTGAACATGGGGTTGCACGGGTGGGCAGGGGGAATGGAACGGTAGTGGAGTGGAAGGTGGTCGGACGTATGGCAATGGTAATGGATGGGGGAGCAGCCACGCGAGCAGTGACGTTGAAGGGCGTGACAGCAAAGCAGGATGCTGTACCGCTTCACAGCGTGTTGGCTGGCATGGCAGCAGGTGGAGCAAGGTGGGGAATGAGAGTGGCATACCAGGTTGAAGTGCTCGTACTGCCGATTTCCCAGCCCGAAGACAGCAAAACGGAGCCCCTGCAGTGGCACGGGGCTGTCGTCCTGGTGGGAGTAGAGGAGGTGCAGGCGGGACGGATGAGGGCTGATGCATGCAGAGAGGGGCGGCAGCAGGAAGAGAGCATAGCAGCAACCAGCGATGAACATGAATGCCACCATGCATGCACGACCACATGCATGCACGACCACATGCATGCACGACCACATGCATGCACGACCACATGCATGCACGACAACATGCATGCACGACCACATGCATGCACGACCACATGCATGCACGACCACATGCATGCACGACCACATGCATGCACGACCACATGCATGCACGACAACATGCATGCACGACCACATGCATGCACGACCACATGCATGCACGACCACATGCATGCACGACAACATGCATGCACGACAACATGCATGCACGACCACATGCATGCACGACCACATGCATGCATGAGCGGCTGTCAGCCTCTGCAGCGGTGCGCACCTGAGCCTCTGCATGAGCAGCGGTGGCGTGCAGCCATTTGAAGAAGCGCTGCGCATCGTCCGTTGGCTCGCCGTCCCCGTAGCTGAGGGCGCGGCAGGGCAAGGCGGCGACAGGGATAGGGCGGGTGGAGTCAGATGTGGCGCACAGAGACATGCAGCTCGCGTGTGTGGCGTGGGGGACGCGATAGCAGCATGGTGGCAGCAGCAAGAAGCGCAGCAGAGCACAGAGGTGCGCAGAGGAGCAGGCAGCAGAGCAGGGGGCAGTGCAGTGGCAGCTCACGTGGCGACGAGGAAGAAGGCGGCGTGGAAGGCCTTCAGCTTCGCTGTGAAGCCATCGCTGTCCTCCGCTAGATCATCCTGCCGTGGGGCCATGGGGTGATGGCGCATGCAGCACGACGTGAGGCATGCTGGCATGGGAGCACGTCAGGGGTGTTCACATGCAACGTGTGCGAGTGTGCAGTGTGGAGGAGTGCGTTTTGCTTCCATTCGACCACACGCCCGCCCACAAACGTACCAGGCTGCTGAGCTCCACGGTGCAGTGCGATGCGAAGTGGTGCTGCAGCTCTGACACAAGTGTCTGTAAGGGCGACGAGGGGCACGGGTTGCGGGTGAGGAAAGAGGGGGAAATGGTGAGGCGGCCGGGGGAGTGGGGGGGCTTGAGGCGGCAGGGGGGAGGGTGAAACGGCAGGGAGGGGTGATTGGGCGGAAGGGATGAGGCGGCAGGTGGGTTGCGGCGGCAGAGAGGGGAAGTGAGACAGCGAGAACGGGAGCATGGGAGGGCAAGGCATCTCGCGCAGCCACGCACTGCCCGCCCACGCAACCCCCTCGTCGCACGCTCTGCCTTCCCACCCACCCCATCCAACCGCGCCTCTCATCCGCGCAACCCGAGAAGCGCGCCGCGCCCTAACAGGCTCGCCCGCGGTGCACGCGGCCCACCTTGGCGAATCCCTCGGACGTGCCCGTCTGCGTGCCGAACAGAATGCCGATCGCCACCTTCGAGTCGTCGCGCTCTGCCTTATCCCCCTCGCCCTTCCGCTCCTCGCCATTCGTCGCCGCCACCGCCGCTACATCCTTTGTAGCGAGCGGCTGGTACTTGCTGCCGCCGCCGGGCCCCGCGGCGACTGGTGCTTTGGACAGCGAGGCGGCGCGATGGCGAAGCACGAAGAGCGCGAGCGACGACACGAGCACCGCCAGCGACACGAGCGCCACGAGCGCCGGCGTGGGGCCGGCGGCGAGCGCGACCGTGGCGTCGGGAGAGACGGCGTGCAGCGACTCCGCCAGGTGGTCCGCCGCCATCGCCGCTGCGCTGCCGTCGCCGATCATGCTGACGCGGCGACTATGCTGACACGGCGCCTATGCTGACACGGCGACTATGCTGACACGGCGCCTATGCTGACACGCGCCTATGCTGACACGGCGACTATTCTGTGCAGTCACGCTGCTAGAGCTATTAGCTGTCCGATAGACGATAATGTTAGAGCGACTACGCTGTGAGAGTGAACACGGCAGCGACTTGGAGGCCACAGCGGGAGAAAGGTTCCCGGCTCGCCAGGGCTTGTGAGGTAAGACGCGAAGGCGAGCAAGAAGTGCGGTCTCGAGATTCGCGGAAAGGATCTGCGATAGGAGAAATAGGAAAGTGACGTCAGTGCACGGGGAAGGGAAGGCTCGTCGTGTATGTGCGGTGGTGGTGTGGTGTGAGTGTGATGTGACCGTGTCTGCTACGCCTGTCACGACAACTCACGACTCACAACAAGCTTTGGACGTTGAGGTCGTATCTCCAGCAAGTGTCAATAGGGGCCTGTGTCATGACACCAACTCGAAAACACATGGAGGGCTATCCCTCCTGGTGTCAGCTAAACCAACCAATGAGATCGCGGGAAATCGTCCAATGTGCCCAACATTGACACCAGGCTGGAGCCGCGCTCACACGCGGCTCCACTTGGTGTCAACCGTAAACAACGCTTGACACCAAGCCTTTCTTGACACTTGCTGGAGATACGACCGAGTGCGAGAGTGCTGGTCGCTCGGGGTCGCACGAGATGGTGACTTCGACCTGGCGACCGCTGCTGTGCTGTCGGCGAACCAATTGTAGCGACTGGAGCGCGCATCTCCACCGCATAACTGAGTACACGTCAGACGTCACTTCCAAGACATGCGGAGTGACACCAAGGCTGGTGACGAGGATGACCAATGCGTTATTCGCTTTTAGCCTTCTACACTACATGCAATATGATGTTAAGTTCGTTGGCCCAAGTCTACATCTAAAACGGAGTTGACCAAATCTAGGATGAAACACGGTGAAAGACTTAGTGAAGTAAGTTTCCGTGATTTAATGGCGATATTGGCGACTATGGACCTATGGTTCTCCAATAGCCTCCAGCTTATATTTGATAGAACTACTATCTTTATGATTAGAAAGCTTTTAAAAAAGAAAGGTGAAATGCGCGAAGTGTACGGAAGCTTGTGGCAGCCCACCTCGAAAGTGACCAGGCCTGTCGATGTTCCTGGGGCCCATACTTGGAGCCCCCAGCTCCTCCCTATCTGACCCTGTATTGGCCGTAGCTGAGTGTTTTGGCGCCCTTAACGGTCATGGGCGCAGGCCGAAGTGGAAACTTGATATCCGGGCTTGCAACTACACTCTCTTAGCTAAGGGAAAGTTCGGCTGCTCCAAAGCTGACTTAGAGAGATCACAAACACGGGATTGGCTGAAAAAACGCTAAGGGAAAAATCCCCTTGGCGCGCTCTCGTGCAACCAAGGAGAAAGGGGGGGGGGTGGAGTGGGGGGGTCAGGCAGAATTTCTTAGGGGGGGGTCCCTAGAACCGGAAATCAAAACTTTGTGGGTGGGGAAGGCCTGTTTGGAGCACTTAACGCATCCGGGATAGGGTCGAACGAAGCACTTAGTGGCACGGGTACAAGGCGGTCCTAACACTTAATGCAGTCGAGCTGGAGCAAAAGTAGCCCGGAATTTCAGGGCATTAAGGGCATATGCCCATCAATCGGCAGGCCTGAAAGTGACTCGTCAAATGCAGCCCCTTGTTTGGCGTTTCAGCCCTCAAATCTGTGCTGCGATCTGGCTCACTCCAAGTTGCGCCGCGCCCACATCTAGTAACTAACCATGCCGTAGGAGCAACCGATGTCATCTATGATCAAGTGAAAAGCTTTTCATTTCCGCCGCCCCTAGCATTGGCTTACCACCGCGAGGGTTACACCTTAGGTCGGTAGATGGTAGAGCAGCGGTGAACAACCCGAATATTCTTGCCATCAGTCCCCGTCCAGTCCGATCGACGGCCACGATGAGCCAGGAGCTGCGTGCGATGCGGCGGTTGCAGCAGCAGCTTCAGCTGCGCGGGGTGACGGTGGATCGCGCGGCGCTGCAGAGCGTGGTGGAGTTCGTGCTGGAGGCGGGGTGCAGCGAGCAACAGGCCGTCGACGACCTGCTCCGCGGCATCACCGCGCTCGAACGTACGCCGCCTACTGCTCGCGCCAGCTAGCGGGGAATTGGTTTGAGGCGCCTCAAAGTCGAACGTACGCCGCTCAATGCGCAATAAGTTAGCGGAGAATGGGGATGATCGCGGATAGATTGGTGGATGCGAGCGTGGGGCGACAGAGGAGGGATTCGTAGTGAGCGTGTGGGTCTGGTCTGTGAGAGTGGCGCATAGTTATGATGGTAGGCGCGTCAGTGCCCGTGGACGGCGCGGTTTGCGCCGGAACGTGTGGAGCGGCAGGCGGGAGCGAGGAGGATGGGGAACGAGGAGGATGGGGAGCGAGGAGGATGGGGACGAGGAGGATGGGGAGCGAGGAGGATGGGGAGCGAGGAGGATGGGGACGAGGAGGATGGGGAGTGAGGAGGATGGGGAGCGAGGAGGATGGGGACGAGGAGGATGGGGAGCGAGGAGGATGGGGAGCGAGGAGGATGGGGAGCGAGGAGGATGGGGAGCGAGGAGGATGGGGAGCGAGAATGAGGCTTAGCCGTCAGTCTCTGGTCCGACGCCTGTTCACGGCGTCGCCTCACCTCTCTTTCCTCTTGCCCCTCTTTCCTCGCCCCTCGCCCCTCGCCCGCAACGGCAGTGGGCGTGCAGGTGGTGTCGCGCGACGTGGTCCGCCAGGTCCTTCTGCAGCCCCTCCGCGCGCGCTCCCGCGCCCCCCCTGCTGATGCGGGGGGAACTGCAGGCGGAAGCAGCCGCGGCGAGCACGCAGGGGGGGGGCGCGCGGCCAGATGCGCTGGGGGGCGTGGGGAGGAACGGGGGAGCGGGGGAGGTGATGGAGGGGGGGGCGGGGGGAGGGTGTGGAGGGGTGGATGCGCGAGTGGCGCGCGCTGGTGGTGATCGACGCCTTCACCATGCCACGTGTGGACTATGACCCCCTCCGCAAACACTTCTCCAGGTCAACCCTCCCTGCTTCCCCCGCCCCTAAGCTGACCGTGTGTGTGTGGTGGCCGTGGGTGAGTTGGGCGTGTGTGAGGACGCGAGGGCGGGACAGTTTGAGTGGGTGTGGCCGTGGGAGGGAGGAGAGAGGACGTGAAGGCGCAAAGTTAGCGATCGAAATGCCATGCTTCCTCTCCTCCTCATCCCCTTCCCCTTCTCCCCACTCCCGTTCCTGCCTTCTCACCCCTTTCCCGTCACCCGCTGTCTCTTCCCCACCCCGCCTGTCACCCCTCCCCACACTCACCTTGCTCCTGTGCTCGCATGGCACCGCGTGGCCAATGGCCGCCACAAGTCCAAACTGTTGCTGCTCCTTCTCAAGCACCTTCACATGCAAACTCACACCGTTCCTCCACCACCATGCACCGCACTGCACCACAGCTCCCTTCCTTATTCTTTGTTTTTGAAATTGTTCTTGATCCCACGTGGCCCCCATCCCCTGTCCTCCCCCGTGCCCCCAACCCCACGTGCATTGCATGCAGGCACCGGGGCGCGCTGTCCCTGGCAGGGGCGCCGAGCAGCAAGGCGGACGTGCTGCGGCGCCGCCTGCACCTGCTGCTGGCGCGCACTGCCCGCCACCGCCGCTTCGCCGTGCCGCTGCTGCCTCTGGGCTCCGCGCAGCAGCAGCAGGAGCAGTACACCGAGGTGAGGTGCCATGCCATGTAGCAGGGGGAACAGGTCCTGTGGGTGAAGAAGGGAGGAAACGAGAGCTTTGGGAGTCTTTCCAACACTCGTTTCTTTCTTCCACTGTGTTTTCCGTGCTTCCATTGCCCATCCAACGACCTCTTTTCAAGTCAGCACCCACACGTTTCTCCCTCCCTTTCTCCCACACCTCTCCTTTTACCTTTCTAGCCCTCTTGCTCCCTTGCAAATCCCCTGCTTTTCTCGCCCCCCCTCACTGTCCACTGTTCCTCGCCCCTGGTGCAGCTGACGCCAGTGCAGGCGCTGGTGGGCGGCACAGCGGCGTCGCAGCAGAGGCGGCATCACGTGGTGGGCGTGGTGGCACAGCTGGAGGATGGCCGCTTCTTCCTTGAAGACCTCTCCGCCTCGCTGCCGCTCGACCTGACCCATGCCATATCCGCCCTCCCCTCCCTCCCTCCACTCTCACCACACTCACTTCCGGACGTACCACCTCACTCTCAACCTCTCCATACACGCACACTCACACCAAGCAATTGATTTCCACAATGTATTTTCCTTGACCTGGCTTCTACGCATCTCTCCTCTCTCGCCCCCTATCCCTTTGTCTCTCCCATCTCCTTTCCTCTTTCCTCGTCTCCCTCGTTGTCTCCCTGTGAACCCATCTCGACCACCCCCTCCGTGTGACCGCGTGTGTGCGGCACGGCACTGCACGGCATCGCGGGGCTACTTCACCGAGAATTCAGTCGTCATTGCCTCGGGCCACCTCACTCCCTCCGGCTGCTTCAACGTGCGCGCTCTCTGCCTCTCTCTCCCGCCCCCTTCCCCATTTCCCCTCCCCTATTTCTTTCTCTCCCTCCCATTCCTTCCTTCTCTCTACCGCATCCTCTCTTCCCGTTCCATCCTTGCGTGATGTAACATCTTCAATGGCACCCCACTCCACCACATCCCACTCCAATTCAAACCATATCACGAGATCTGAACACATCCCAACCCTAAATCATAAACTGCGTTCCATCTGAGCGCTCAAACGTCAATCCCCCTGCGCCCTAATTGTTGCCTGTCCCCCCCCAGGTGGCCTCGCTGGAGTTCCCCCCGGTGGAGCCACGGGAGGAGGCGCTGTCCCTGGCGGAGGGGCTGGACCTGTTCGGCGCCGGGCCCATCGACGCCCACCGCTACGTGCGTGTCACCACCCCCCCCCCCCAACCCCCCCCCCACCCCCGATCTTCTAGCACCATTGGGTGCGTGCATCTCAGCAAGGGTGTGTGCGTGTGAGGGTGCATATGTGCATGTGAGGGTGCATATGTGCATGTGAGGGTGCATATGTGCATGTGAGGGTGCATGTGTGCGTGTGAGGATGGATGTTTGCCCATAAACCTGGGAACTTGGGGCATGCGGATTCGGCTTTTGGCCGCTCCTCTGCCATTGTGCCTCCCTCCGCTTTCTGCCACACCACTGCACCCTCTGCACGCCGCACTTTTTCTCATCTGACTCGCCCCCTCCCTTCCATTCTGCTGCTGCCGCCCTCTCCTCATTCACCACACACTTCCCCACCATTTCTTCCATCTCGCTCCAGTGCTCTTCTCTCGTCATCACGCTCCCCTCTCCCTCCTGTGTCGATCGCACCCCCTGCCCCACCGCATGAGCAGGCGTGGGTGCAGCAGCGCGAGGCAGAGGGAGTGGCGGAGGGGCACATGTTCATCGTCATGGCGGACATTGCTCTGCATGACCCCCAGGTCACTCCTCCCTCCCCACTCCTCACTCCATCGCCATGGCACACATCGCCATGGCACACATCGCCATGGCACACATCGCCATGGCACACATCGCCATGGCACACATCGCCATGGCACACATCGCCATGGCACACATCGGCATGGCACACATCGGCATGGCACACATCGGCATGGCACACATCGCCATGGCACACATCGCCATGGCACACATCGCCATGGCACACATCGCCATGGCACACATCGCCATGGCACACATCGGCATGGCACACATCGGCATGGCACACATCGCCATGGCACACATCGCCATGGCACACATCGCCATGGCACACATCGCCATGGCACACATCGCCATGGCACACATCGCCATGGCACACATCGCCATGGCACACATCGCCATGGCACACATCGCCATGGCACACATCGCCATGGCACACATCGCCATGGCACACATCGCCCTTCACCACCCCAAGGTCACTCCTCCATCACGCTTCTCTGACATGCAGTGAATTGTGAGAAGATGTTGCACTTCTGGAGTTTACGCTTTCACAGCTGAGATTTCCCAGTTCTTAATTTCTCACCTCCCTCCCATTCACCCCGGAAGTGCCCTTTGCTCTCTCCCCTGCACCACCTCTGCATGGATGTGCTTCGGCAGACCCTGTCTCGCCTGGCCACGCTGCTGGGAGCATACGATGCTGTAAACGACCCGCCGCGCCTCTTCTCCTCCCTCCCATTCACCCGGGATGCCTCCCTTGCTGTCTCCCTTTGCCTTCTCCCCTGCACCACCTCTGCATGTGTGTCCGGCAGACCCTGCAGCGCCTGGCCACGGTGCTGGGGGCGTACGACGCCCTGGACGAGCCACCGCGACTCTTTCTGCTCATTGGGGACTTCTGCTCCCCGCCCTCCGCCCTCGCTTCCCCGCACCTGCACGCTCACAGGTGCCTGCTGCCTCTGCTTCCTTTACTTTCTTCTCTTGCATAAGTAGCTCCTTGCACACGGGCGCTTATTCTTCTGTGCATTACGCATCGCTCTGCACTCCCTTCTCTTCCTTCTTACCCCACTTCCCTGTATGCCCCCACACCAACCATTCCTGCACCCGTCCTTCCCTCTTTTCACCCGCTCCTGCTTCCCCGCCCAGGGAGGCCTTCTCACAGCTGGCGAGGGTGATAGGCGCGCACCGCCGCCTCAAGGACAAGTCGCTCTTCGTCTTTGTGCCCGGCCAGGCCGACCCAGGTGGTTACCTTCTTCCCCTCCTGCCTCCCTTGCCATCTCCTGCCCTCGCTCTCTTCTTCTGCCCAAGGGGCCTGTCAAGTTACATGAGAAGTTGCTTTTTAGAGGCACAAAGGCTTACTGCAAGAGCACCAGAGTTGATGAGGAAAACATCTCTTGAAGCCACCCCGGAGCAGCCTCTGAATTTTTGAAAACACAGCACAGTGCGTGCCATCTTTCTGCTCTCTTCCCCACACTGCTCCACTTGCCCATGCCCCTACCCCCGTGTGCCTGCCCCCAGGCCCATGCGCAGTGTTGCCACGCCCATCGCTGCCGCGCTTCTTCACAGACCCCATCACTGACGCCCTCCCCTCTGCTGTCTTCTCCTCCAACCCTTCCCGGTGCGCCCCTTTCTCCCCCTCTATCCCCCATCCCCGTTTGTTCGCTCTTCGCACCTCCTTTCTCCTCCCTTCCCTACGTTCTTTCACACCCTCTGGTTCATTTTCACACATGCATATAGTACACATGCGCGCACACGACACATGCATATAGTACACATGCGCGCACACGACACATGCATATAGTACACATGTGCGCACACGACACATGCATATAGTACACATGCGCGCACACGACACATGCATATAGTACACATGCGCGCACACGACGCATGCATATAGTACACATGCGCGCACATGACGCATGCATATAGTACACATGCGCGCACACGACGCATGCATATAGTACACATGCGCGCACACGACACATGCATATAGTACACATGCGCGCACACGACGCATGCATATAGTACACATGCGCGCACACGACGCATGCATATAGTACACATGTACACACACGACGCATGCATATAGTACACATGCGCGCACACGACGCATGCATATAGTACACATGCGCGCACACGACGCATGCATATAGTACACATGCGCGCACACGCCGCATGCATATAGTACACATGCGCGCACACGACGCATGCATATAGTACACATGCGCGCACACGACGCATGCATATAGTACACATGCGCGCACACGACGCATGCATATAGTACACATGCGCGCACACGACGCATGCATATAGTACACATGCGCGCACACGACGCATGCATATAGTACACATGCGCGCACACGACGCATGCATATAGTACACATGCACGCACACAACATGTGCATACGTGCCATCCTCTGAGGTCATCACCGTTCATTCCTCTCCCTTCCCCTCTCTGCCTGTCTGTCCCTCCATTGAAGTTTTTTCTAGCCAATTTGATTTCTTCTGGTGCTTGTTGTTCAATTGCATCCTCCCTTCCCTCCCTCCCTCCCTCCCTCCCTCCCTCCCTCCCTCCCTCCCTCCCTCCCTCCCTCCCTCCCTCCCTCCCTCCCTCCCTCCCTCCCTCCTTCCCTCCCTCCCTCCCTCCCTCCCTCCCTCCCTCCCTCCCTCCCTCCCTCCCTCCCTCCCTCCCTCCCTCCCTCCCTCCCTCCCTCCCTCCCTCCCTCCCTCCCTCCCTTACTCCTCCCTCTCTCCCTCCCGCTCCCCCTGCCCCCATCTTGGAACCCTCACGGCAGCCTCAAGTTCTATTCGCAGGAGCTGGTGGTGCTCAGGGCGGACCTGCAGCGCCGCATGCAGCGCTGCGCCGTGCTGCCGCCACTCAAGGACACCGACCCCTTCACCCATGTCAGTCACACTCACCCTCTCACGCCTGCTCCTCTCGCCATGGCCTAGAGCTCGTCTCGTTGGAAGCTCACGAGTCTAGGACTTTCACCCACGCGTATTGCGCTTCAAGTAGGTGCCCTCCCTCTTATATTCGCTCGAGCCAGCCACAGCTGCCCTTCCCTGGCCTCGCCCTGTGCACTGCATGCGCATCCCTGCCTGTGTGCCGCTGTGCCCCCCGGGCGGCAGGTGGCGACCACGGTGGTGCACCAGGCGCATCTGAGCCCGCTGCCCCTGGCCGCCCAGCCCGTGTTCTGGGACTATGACTTCACTCTGCACCTCTTCCCCGCTCCCCATGTGGTATGCTGGCACGCCACGTGATCAGTTGCTTCATTCCCTCCTGTTTGAGTCGATGTCATATTTGATTTGCCACTGGCAGTCTCGATCTATCTTGTGTTACTGTGCTGCTATCCCCTTGTCCACATCACTCATCCCACAAGCATACCATGGTTTACCATTCATCCCAGCTTTGGCACCTTCGTCAGACGCCCCCCTCTGCCCCCTCAATTACACTCCTATGGGACTCTCCCTTATCTCCCATTTCATCCTGCCAGCTGATTCTGGCAGACTCATCAGGGCAGAGCAGCGCTGTGGTGAATGGCATCACGTGCATCAACCCCGGCTCCTTCTCCCTCGATGGCACCTTCACTGCCTACTACCCAGCCTCACGCTCAGTGGAGCACTGCAATGTGTGATGCATTCGCATTCGCTAGAGTTATGTACCAATCTCACTCGGGTGGTCTGATGCTGCAATGCACTCAATTCAGAAGACCGCAACCCTATATCCAACCCCGGGAACAAACATTCGGGTGTTGTACAAGGACCAAGCAGGCACATGAAGGCAGATGTTCAAGTGTGGGGGAAGGGTGGGGGTTCAATTATGGGGAGGGAGGGGTTGTAACTTGTAAGTTTGCATCTACCGGTAGGTGTTATGGTACTGGTACATAATGACATACGCACAAAAACACTTGTATTCTGTCTTGAGCTGAAACAGCTCCGTACTGCGTGTGGAGTTCAATACACATCATTCAGGCACAGGTTGACTCACCACCACACACACACACGCTCAATCACAATTTTAACCTCTAGGGTGGCGCGAGCTCAACAGAGGGGGGAGAGTGCTCACAACAACTCTTCTACACACGTCACCACCCGGATGCCACACCACTTCCCAGAAGAAATATTCTCACAACAACACTTCTATAACTCAGTAATTTACACACTTCACCACCCAGGAGAATGGTGTGGCATGGTGGTGCTGCGTGGCATGGCATGGCATGGTTGAATGGCATGGCGAACAGCAGCTCTCTCATGGCGGGCAGCAGCTCACTCACATGGCGGGCAGCAGGACAGGCAGGTAGCGCCTTCCAGTGCACCGCCCCCGCTGACATGGTGGGGCAGGGGGGGAAAGGGGGGAACGAAGAGGGGGGTGAAGGGAAAGGGTTGTGGTGGGAAAGAGGTTACGGGTTCGCAGGGGACATGGTGGGGGGCGGGGGGCAGAAGCAGCGGCAAGAGAAAGAATCCTTGCTGGTGTCACCGCACTGGACCTCACACCCCCTCGTCTAATGCGAACCACACCTCATTGCACTTCATCTCACCACACGGCATCTCTCCGCACTGCATCGAACCGCTCTGCACCTCACAGTATCTGACTTGGTTCCAGTTGTCCCCCAGCCCCACAGCGAGCTGAGAGGCAATGGTTTCCCCCAAACTGCCCATGCCACATGTGAGAGAAGGGGAGAGGGGCAGATGTGGCAGAGGAGGGAGAGGGGGCAGTGGCGGCAGAGGAGAGAGGGAAGGATTAGGGCCAGAAGTGAGCAAATTCACAGGCGTGGGAAAGAGGCATAGGGCAGAAGGGAGAAAGCAGAAGGGACAAGAATGTTAAAGAAGGAACCGAAGCACCGCACCTGTTGAGTTGGCTCGGCCCCATGACATGGCACAGAGCAGCGAGGGCAAACACAGAGCCTCTCCCCCCCACACCTCTCCCCCATGCCTTCTCCGCCGCTGCAACATTGGCGAGCCACTCTTCTGTCGCGCTGGCAGAAGCCGCTCTTCTGCTGCGCTGGCACAATTCGTCCTGTCGAGGGCTTGGTAGGTGTTGTGTGCCATTCTAGCTATATCGACTTGCATGCCTCATTTGTAATCTTATGTTCAATGTTTTTATCAGTTTCTAGTGAAACTCTTGCCAACTTCTCTGTGAACACAACAATCAGTAAGAACACTACTAGAACGATACGATCACTCGCACAACCGTTGCGTAGTGACTCTCCGCAACCATTACCATTACCGATACCATTAACGTTACCATTACCGTTACCATTACCGCTACCATTACTGTTACAATAGTAAGCACAACGAGGAGCCATAGCTAGGGTTTAGCTAGCTAGGCAAGAGAGAAATGAACAAAGGAGGGGGTTCACTAGTAAGCAGGGCAGTACATATAGCAAACCCTAATTTGGGTTGTACTCACTATAGAGTACCCCACTGCAGACTAGACAATGATAACATTCTGACACACCCCCATAGTCAAAGTGGGGTATAATAAGCACAGCAAGCAGTCATAGAGCAGGTTCACAAGGACAAGCAAAGCTAGAGGCAGTCGCAGAGGGCAAGTGAGGAGGAAGAGTGACTGTGAGAGGAGAGGGGATGGGAGGCGACGGTGGAAGCTGCAGACACACAGGAGCAGCTGGCTCAGTGGCTACCGAAGCAATGGCCCGGACTACAGGAGTAACTGGCTCCGCGGAGATTGTAGCCTCCTGACTGGAGCAACTGACCCACAGGCGACTGGCGACTACCGGAGATTGTAGCCTCCGGACTACTGGCGCTGCTGGCGACACGACTGCTGCCTCCGATCGACTTCCCCCAACTGTCCCACACCCCTTTCACACACCCCTTGCTGAACCCCTAGCTCCACTCCCACGTCACCCCCCCTTAAACCCTAAACCCTTGGCTCCCACACACCCACCCCCCTCAGCGGCAGCTGCAGCAGTGGGAGACGGAGGAGGAGGAGCTGCAGGTTACCCACACCGTTCACCCCCATGCCCGCCACCCCCAAACCCTAACGCAGGTAGGAGCGCGGGAAGCAGCAGGGGCGGTTCACGGAGGGAAAGGGAGGAGGCGGGGGGGTCTCCTGGGCGCCACGAAGGAGCAGGGCGCGGGCCCCCCGAGGGCGCCACGGCTGGTGACGGGAGGAGGGGGCTGCGCACGGGCCCCCGAGGGCGGCTCGACGGGCGACGAGAGGGGCCGCGCGCGGGCCCCCAAGGCGCCACGACGAGGCGACGGGAGGGGGGGGGGGGCGCGCGGGCCCCCAAGGTGCCGCGACGAGGCGACGGGAGGGGGGGAATGCGCGGGCCCCCAAGGCGCCGCGACGAGGCGACGGGAGGGGCCGGCGCGCGGGCCCCCATGAGAGCGCCACGACGGGTGACGGGAGGGGGTGGCGCGCTGGCCTCCGGGGCGCCGCGACGAGTGACAGGAGGGGGGCAGCGGGCGGGCCCCCTGAAGACGCCACAACGGGCGACGGGGGGCAGCGCACGGGCCCCCTGAAGGCGCCTCGACGGACGGTTAAACCGCCACGCGCCCTGAGCGCGCGGCGGGCAGAAAAAGCCACCACGCGCTCGGAGCGCGTGGCGGAAAGAAAACAACACGTCGCGTACCACGGGGCGCGCGACAAACAGAACGACAGCGGAAGCAGTTGGTGGGCCCACAGGCCAGGAGCGTAAATGCTCTGAGACCATGTTACAATAGTAAGCACAGTGAGGACCATAACTAGGGTTTAGCTAGCTAGGCAAGAGAGAAATGAACAAAGGAGGGGGTTCACTAGTAAGCAGGGCAGTACATATAGCAAACCCTAATTTGAGTTGTACTCACTATAGAGTACCCCACTGCAGACTAGACAATGATAACATGCTAACAATTACCTCTACGATTACCGTTACCATGACCATGAACCCTACCGTTACCATTATCATTACCATTACCACTACCATTATCAAAGCCATTAGCATTGCCATTAGCATTGCCATTACCATTGCCCTTACCATTGCCATTGCCACTGCCACTGCCATTGCCATTGCCATTACCATTACCGTTACCATTACCGTTACAATTACCGTTACCATTACCGTTACCATTACCGTTACCATGACCGTTACCACTACCATTACTGTCAGAACATATAGCTTACTTGTTTCTGTAGGCTATAGTGGGGTATCCCATATGGGGTACAACCCAAATTAGGGTTTCCTATTTGTACTCACTTCGTTCATAGTCATTTCATTCTCGTTCATATCTTCTCATGGAATCAGAGCAGGTCCCTTCCTAGGGACTGTTCCTAGGGCCCACCGAAGCGCGCCCCGAGGCGCGCGTTTTTTTTTTAGCGACCCTCCGTGTCGCCCTTACCGCCGTGCTCTCGCTTAGGCCCCTCGTCGGCCCCGCTAAGGCCCCTCGTCGGCCCCGCTTAGGCCCCTAGTCGGCCCCACTTAGGCCTCGTCGGCCCCGCGTAGGCCCCGTCGGCCCCGCTTAGGCCCCGCTTCGGCCCCGCGTCGGCCCCGCTTAGGCCCCGTTGGCCCCGCTTAGGCCCCGCTACGGCCCCTCGTCGGCCCCACTTAGGCCCTGTCGGCCCCGCTTAGGCCTCGTCGGCCCCGCTTAGGCCCCGCTACGGCCCCGCGTCGACCCCGCTTAGGCCCCGTCCGCCCGCCTAGGCCCCGCTACGGCCCCTCATTGGCCCCGCCTAGACCCCGTCGGCCCGCCGTAGGCCCCGCTCCAGCCCGCCGTCGGCCCCGCTATAGCCCGCCGTCGGCCCCGCTACAGCCCGCCGTCGGCCCCGCTACAGCCCGCCGCCGGCCCCGCTACAGCCCGCTGTCGGCCCCGCCCCAGCCCGCCGCCGGTCCCGCTACAGCCCGCCGTCGGCCCCGCTACAGCCCGCCGCCGGCCCCGCTACAGCCCGCCGTCGGCCCCGCTACAGCCCGCCGTCGGCCCCGCTACAGCCCCGCTACAGCCCCGCTACAGCCCGCCGCCGGCCCCGCTACAGCCCCGCTACGGCCCGCCGTCGGCCCCGCCGCCCGTGCTGCAGCCCGCCGCGCCACCGTGCAGCCGCCCGTGCAGCCGCCCACCGTGCCGCCCGTGAGCAGCCCCAGCCGCCCGTGAGCCGCCCGTGCAGCCGCCCGCGCCGCCCGTGAGCCCCTGCGTCACCCGAGCCGCGCGAGCCGCCCGAGCCGCCCGAGCCGCCCGAGCCGCCCGAGCCGCCAGTGGAGCCGCACTCCTGCTCCTGTGGGGCCACTGATGCTCCTGGGCTGTGTTACTGTGCTGCTGACCTACCCGACTTTTCCTGCCCGGTGAGACTGTCAGCTGCTGTCATGGCCACCCCCGCTGTCCTAGCTTTTGACGCTGAGGGTAGAGCCATTGACTTTGCAGTCTGGATTGAAGACCTGCAGCTGTACTTACTGTGTGATGCGATAGATGAGGTCTCTCTCTTTGACTTTGTCTCTGGCGCTGTCCCTGCCCCTCCTGCTGATGCTGACCCCGCCGTTCGCTCCAAGTGGGCGACCCGCGATGCTGCTGCACGTCTTGCTGTGCGTCGCCACCTCCCTTCCTCCGAGCGTGCCCACTTTAGTCAGTGCAAGACCGCTCAGGCCTTGTACGACGCTGTAGTTGCACACTACTCCTCCCCTTCCTCCGCTACGCTTAGCCGCCTCAT